AAGAGGCAATTAATAATCAGCATACCCAAGTACAGGGGTATTTACTAGCATTTCTTTGATTTTGTCAAATGCGTTCTGCTGAGATTCACCCCAAATCCACTTTGCGGGTACTGGTTTGATCTTGTCCTCGGGCTTTTTTTTTGTACCATGGCCTTTCAACAATGAGTTGAGAGGCTCGACAATTTTTGAATAGTTCTTGATAAACCATCTTTAGTACCCTGAAAAACCAAGTAATTGTCCAAGTTCTTTAATATTTTTGGGCTCGGGCCAGTCTGTTACTGCCGACGTTTTTTCGGGATCTGTTCTAATGCCATCCTCAGACACTACATGGCCAAGGTAGGTGACACTAGTTTTAAACAGTTCACATTTTGATGCCTTTAATTTCAGACCATGTTGTTTAAGTTTGGAAAATACTGACTCTAAACTTTTAAGATGGTCATCAAAAGTTTTAGAAAATATCAGTATGTCATCTATAAACACTAAGCACTCCCTCAAATGCATATCTCCCATGCATTTCTCCATGAGGCGCTGGAATGTTGCAGGAGCGTTAGTTAAACCAAACCCCATTCTATTACACTCATATAAGCATCTTTCCTAGTATGAGAATTGAGCATTCTGTAATCGACACAGAAGCGAAGGGACCCATCTATTGTTCTTACCAACACTATCTTGGAAGAAAATTGACTATTTGATTCCCTCACCACACCAGCCTCTAGCATATCCTTCACATGCTGTCGTACTTCTTTGTACATTCCCGGTGGAACCCTACGATAAGGCTGTTTAAATGGTTTCTCGTCCAATAATTCTATCTGATGCTTAGTCAAATCAGTTTTACCCAGATCTGAGGGAGAAGTGGAGAATATATGGGTCCAGTTTGCAAGTGTTTCCCTCACTTGAACTAGTTGATCCCCATTTAAATTACCTTCCTTTACTAGGACCCCTAACTCTTCTGGCACAGACTTTTGTACTGTGGTGTCATTGGTCCAAATCGATGAATCTGATTTAAGTGGTGATAGTTTGTCAGCTCAAAGTCCGATCGATCTCCGTATATCCGACCACAGGGAGGGTATGGTTCTGTGTGAGGAATGACAGAAGTATGCGGGAAATCACGACGGGTGGTGACATCGTTACACGCTTTAACGTAGACAACATAACAGGTTCTTTGTATATCACTAGTGACGACATGGTAGTGGTGGGGATGGAGGGATGAATGCAATTGTACACTACAGACGGACCGGACGGTATCGGCAGGAGTGGGCGATCCCCTTAGACAGGTAGCAGTATATCCTCATCACATGACGTCATGTACACAGACCTGGGATGTAGCTGCTGTTGCCCGCGATCATATAAGTTTTTATGATTACATGGATGGTAGGGAACCAGGCAAGCAAACGTCCGTCATCGTGATGGATAAACACCTAAACCTGAAGTTTTGCTGTAAAGAAAAAGGTACGAGGAGAACACACGATATTGACACTCAGTCATCAAAGTTTCACCCGTACGATGTTTGTTTTGATGGAGCTGGTGATGTCCTTGTAATTGAGTATGTCACCAAGTCAGCAGTACTAATTGACAGTAATACTTGGCGTTATGTGAGGACTGTTTGTGTATCAGTCTACCAGATGACGTCATACTCTGGGTCGGACACGAGAATGATAAAATGAAAGTCATCAAATACAAGTAGACGTTTGAGATGTTTCTATGTTGTCAAAGGCATTACTATATACAGATATTCCCACTTTACGTAACCATGGTGACAATAAACACGCGTAGAGTAGGGTGATCTTCAGTCATAGCCATTGTAGGACAAATGATGAAGGGCAGTCGTATATATAGAGACTGCATGGCCATACTCAACCGTGGGCCGCCGGTTAGATTACCCCATTGACAGTGAGTAGGTATGGTTGATTCCGGTCTCTTTCGACATGAAATACATCTAGAGTGTAAGACAGTGAGTAGGTATGGTTGATTCCGGTCTCTTTCGACATGAAATACATCTAGAGTGTAAGACAGTGAGTAGGTATGGTTGATTCCGGTCTCTTTCGACATGAAATACATCTAGAGTGTAAGACAGTGAGTAGGTATGGTTGATTCCGGTCTCTTTCGACATGAAATACATCTAGAGTGTAAGACAGTGAGTAGGTATGGTTGATTCCGGTCTCTTTCGACATGAAATACATCTAGAGTGTAAGACAGTGAGTAGGTATGGTTGATTCCGGTCTCTTTCGACATGAAATACATCTAGAGTGTAACATTGACTGGTTATGTAAGCACATTCAGGTACTGTGATGTAAAATTCTGCATTGACATTGTCGGGATATCACGGCATTAATTAAACATTATTTGTGTGTGACACTTCTATACATATTGTGATTAAGTTTTGCACGCTCAACAATTTGATACATTACAATTATTACAATTTAAAAAAAAAAGATGTATTCTAAAGTTTATTATTACTTTTTTAAAGTATAAGTTCAGTTGGTGTGTGAACACTTGGGTTCAAAACGGTAAACCCGATATACCGCCAAACTCGTTATACCGCCAAAATCACAGAGGACAGACAGTGGCGGTATAACGAGGTTTTATTGTACTCAGTGTGCCTCCATCTAGGCTAACACGATTAATAATTGTTATAAACTAAACAAAGATTATTTCAAGGGAGCTTAGAGCAAAGTCAACCACGATGTTGTACCAACACCCCAATCGATGGAAAACCAATCACTAAAGGCCCATCTACTATACTGCAGCGACTTAAAATATGAACTGTCATCAAAAGTTAAAAGCAGAAGTTATGATTTTCTGGTCTTTAGTTCAGTTCGGTAAAACCATATGTATTAGGTTGGATGAAGCAGGCCGTCAATTAATATTTCTTAATCTAATCATAATATGCGACTTGTATTAGAAACATAGATAATATGTTGTTTTATAAAGAAGTTGTGACGTTTGTGTATTCTATACAAATGTTTCCATAACGTGTTCATTTACAGATATGACAATCCGTACTATTGTAGATAAATAAATTGGGATGACTTCTTTTCAAGGCAAATCGAATTCTAATTTTCTAAATCATTGGTTCTTTGTGATACTGTATAACATGAAACGTTCGTGGTAAATTGATGTACTTGACTACTCTCTGTTTATATGGGGGTATCCACTAAAGTTTGTACCATGAAACGATCTTAATTGCCTCAGGCCACGAAAGAAATACCCACCAATATTTTATGTGATACAGTATATTTCTATATTATTGAAAATTATATTTAAACACTGAAAACAAAAAATATGTCTATCTCCTTTGCTTATATCTATATATAACATTGCTACACCAAGTGCACTGTGAAGTTTGGTTTTGTTTATTTTGAAATAAATAACTAACGTTTTCAATAAAGTTATTCCATGTTTATTTAATCACTATAATCATGTCGATTCATTTTTCGTCGTTATACAAAATGTACTTTAAAAATGTAATAGATATCGCTCGTAATGTATAATATCAATAGATATCGCTTGTATTTTGCTCGGAAGAATTTACATATGTCTTTCTTTCTTGTACAGAAATATCAATACTCTTGCGTACTCGTGAAATGCATATCATATTCAACAGGAAAACATTAGGCTAGATATTCATTTTAGAAAAGTAGTTCACAATAATATTTTAAACTAAGATACTTTTCGTCGCCTCGGAAGAACACCACATGCACAAAAGATTTTCTTCTGTCTTAATGATAGAAGTTTTTAAACATATCATTATAATTTCATATCATACTTATAGTTAGCCGAATCTAAGTCTGTGTAAATTTGGATTCTTTTGACCATTTAAACGGCGTTAATTAAATCAGTTAACCTTCAAGTAAGTAATCAAAAGTTTACAAAATATTATTTACCATATACCAAAATAATTTGTTGGATTTTTTGTATATACATCGACTGTATCTGATATGTTATATTGATGTTAAGGCCTATACATGTATTGATTTCATTTACATTTTCATGTATGTTGCTACGTATCTTGCGATTCAAATGATATTACCGTTCAACACATTATAAAGTTTCTCTCATCTCTGGCGGCGTTTTGTGCTAGTAGATTAAAAAATATATTTAATAGAATGTGTCATAAAGAATATTTAGGTAGTAACTATGTGTGGATGTTATTATGCTGCTATCCTAGATTCCTCTTTGAGAACGTTTGAATAGATTTAGTTGGCAGGTATCATCGATAAAGCAGAGGGCTATTGTCTTTTGGTGCGATTTCTATTTTCCTTGTATTTTTACAAGGGTCGCCCTAATGTATCGATTTTTATTTCAATTTTATCGATATGTTACCTTCCATGGCAATTTAACAATGTCAAATTAGTACTCCATGACAAGATAATAACGAATATTAACATATCCTTTTTTTAAATTTCCTCTGTATCAATTTATTACTGGACACTGTTACATTGGCAGTGATACTAAACGTATTTGGAATGAAATGATATTTGAGGAACTCTATTATTATTATTAAATAACTACTACTCACTACGATTATCATTTTACTATTTACACACAAACGTTACAATGGCATTCAACAGGGAGACCTACTGTAATCGTCTCTTTTTGTTTTAAAGAAACAGGGAACTCAATACCTACAGTACTGTAATAATCATTTTACCTTTAAATGTTTCCAAATGTTATTGGAATTCAACAGGGATACCTACTGTAATCAATTTTGTTTTTAAATATTTTGCAAATGTCAAATTGGAATTCAACAGGGATACCTACTGTAATATTTTTTATTAATATTTTGCGAATGCTAAATTGGAATTCAACAGGGATACCTACTGTAACCACTTCTTTATTTTTTTTTAAATATTTTCCCAAATGTTACAATGGAATTCAACAGGGATACCCACTTTAATCATCTCTTTATTTCAATATTTTCCAAATGTTCTATTGGAATTTAAATGTTACAATGGAAAACATATATCTTGAAGATATCGGAATATAAAAAAACGAAGACTGATTTTAAACAGTTTATTACGCACGATTTCTGAATAGCTATAACAATGTGGATAATATTTAAAAAGGAACATGAGAATATACTAAAAGTAAAAGACAAAACTTCAAAACATTTTAGTCATACAGTGACGACGAGTCCTTTAACTCAACGCATAGAAAAACACTTAATTGCAACAGGACGGCGTCCGCTTGAGCAAACAATATTTAAATACATTAAAATAACAAAAATGCAGCAAATGTTATTGCAATTACAATGCTAAATAAGAGCTTAATACAACGAGGTCAAGATGAATTTAATTGTTTTGAACATGACACAGATTTTTTAGCACTTGGTACATAATGAAAAAATAACATAACAAAAAGATTTAAATCAAATGACACAATATCAGGACCGATTGAAATACATCGGATATCAAAATCATGGACGGAACGACAAAAACTTTGAAGAACTTCAGTCAACCAAACTCAGTAAATTAAAATGTACCATTGTATGGTTGTATTTCCCTACCAAGAACATATTCACCATAGTGTTAAAATATCTTTTCAAATTACCAAACAGCTTTTGAAAATACTAAAACATCTCGAAACTGAAACATCCCAGTATCGATATGAAAGTATGCCTTCGATTATAGCTTTGGTATAGGCTTAGGAGACACGGTAGGACGCCAGGCTCGTGACTGAAGGATCGCAGGTTAAAATCTTGTCATGGCACTGTGTTGTATCCTTGAAGAAACTTTACTTCGTTTGTTCCAGTCTACTCAGCTGTAAACGAGTACGTGGTTTAGCATTGCTAGAATTGTAGAATACTAGCTGTGATGGCAGCACCGGATGTATGCTCCCCAGGGAGTTAAGAAAGATATTGGCTGGTTGCATAGGCCCTATAACCACGGATAATAATTTGTGAACCGCTTTGAGACAACCTAAGATCTAGATTGTGCTGAAGCGGTATATTAGAACATCGAGGTATTATTATTATATTATCATAAGGATTATTAAAAATCACTAACACTTTAAAACCTTTTCTAAGTTAATCTGAAGCATGATCCTGCAAGCATTATGTTCGCTATCAGACAAAAATACCTTAATATTTTGATATTTGCTCGGGAAAAGAACATTTGAATATATTTCCACTTTGGTCTATTATTAAGAATCCTCTGCGACTGTCGAGAACTGGAACTATGCACTGTTCAAGCATGCCTATAACTTTGATTATGGTAAGAAAAAAAACCCTTGTGGGTCTTGTATGGAAAAAATAATAAAGATAAAACAGACAACAGTTATAACAACATTGTTCTAAGTATAAAATATAGGAGGGCAAATAGCAGAACCCTTGAAATCCTATCATTAAACAGTCACTCTAACCAATTTAACTACCTTGTCAATAGTAGTACCCCGATCAAGTCGCACTACATTTATATCAAAATGAAATAAAGGGGAGGTAACTCTATGTAAGAAAAAACTGAAAGTTCTATTCTTTTGCAAGTAGTGGGACAAGGGACTTTAATACAAATTGATCACAAACAAAACACTGATTAATCATACATTATCTTGTGAAGTTTAGTCTAAAAGAAAAACTGCTAATGTGATGTTAATTCGAAGAATATTCACTAAATATCTACAAGATCTAGTGCAACAATTTTACTTACAAATAACATTTTGTTATACATTCAGTTGCGAACACACCTTCAGGCAATGACAAAAGAGAAAACAACATTCTTTACGTTGACACAGCCGCAAATATACATATTGGGTTAATGAAACAAGATTTTTATCCTGCATTAAATACTGTATAAGAGAATATAAGTTTACCGCAAAAACTCTACAAGAGACTCAAATAAAAATGCAAATATCAAATTCGCGCAAATGCAGCCCATTAGGTGAAAATCAATTTCAACAGAATTTTTAGTCAACATGATTTAAAAATGCAGATTTATTTTGCTGCTATAGGTTTTATATCAGGAAAAATACGGTACTATTTAAAGAAAGTAAAACATTATGAGGCTGATCTAATGTTTACGTTTTCATATTGATTTTACTTTTGGTTTGCGGTCTGTGCCAGTTATTAAAAGAAAATAAACAATATCGTATGTTATAAACATTCATTCTATCCTAACAACATGGAGTCCAATCCCTCAGTCTATCGTTTCTGTGACATTGTTGATGCTTTTGAAGCCGCTCTTACAGTGTCTTACTTCCCACAACCCTAAATTATCCCTCTATTTAATCGTTTATCGTATATTAAATCAACAAAAATAATGTGCGTTTTCTTTTCGTCAACGCCATAGTAAATATCATCAGAAATAGATGCACACTAGCATCCAGAAGAAAAAGAAGTTGAAGTAGTAGCAGTAGAAGAAGGATTATGTCTCTATTTAAAAATAATTTCGTACACATAAGGTCCCGCTTATTACGAGATCGTTACAGGACCACTACAGCTTATTGAACCAGATAGAAATAACCAAAACGGTATAAGAAACCGTTGCATGGTAGTTTAGTGACATTGTTATTAAGACAACAACACTGATATGCTGATGCAACGTACGAAAAAATAATTTCGCCAAACCCGACACCATGCTTTGCGATTGTTTGCGTACATATCTTATGACATACAGATATATTTGTTTACAAAATATTTCATCTGATGATGTCTTCTCAGCTCTTGTTATAATTTCGTTTGCTCTTGTGGACGGGCTTTTAAATTCTCTTTAGGAATCCTTCAACTGCGCTACGCTGAACTTCGCCTCACATACCACTAGCCGACGTTGGATCTAATTCTTCCTGGTATTAAAATATACATTATTGTTCTAACAGACCTTCTTTGTTATTTACTCAATTTGATGTGTAAACTGAACTTTTTGGAATACTTAACTGGTGATTTACACATAGCACAAACCATTCACTGTAACTATTGGCATGATTGCAAGAAGAAGTTTCAATTAAAATCCGGTGTCTTCACTAAATGTTACTTTTCTGTCGGGAGTTTGTTGCTTTTCAATTTTATCACCATTCTTCTCTAACACTTTCAGTAACATTTTTGACTTCTGTTTGAGCCCATCTGAAACATTAGAGTCTATCAAGACATAATCCTGAACCCTTTCAACAAAATCCTCCGTGATCCTATACTCGGGGTTCCCATACTTGATATTAAACAATGCCTGCTCAAGGTCAAAATCAATCACAAGCCAATGCATCGCAAGGACGATACCATCTATGGCGCTGTCGAACTCTGATTTGGGACGGAGCGTGCGTAGAGCCTGCCGTTCCGTTTCCGACATTATGTGTGGAGAAGCCAGCCCGGAATACCTCCTTCCGATCGAGGAGAGAATCGTCTCGTGCAACTCCTTTCGAATGTCCTTGGCCCGGACGCGAATTTGTGCGTCAGGATGTACCTCGTACGATTGTAAGTCCAAATCTAGCAGAGGTCGTGATCGAATCATATCTTGTTTGAGTCGGAGATCATTTTCAATCTCCTCCAACTCTTTTTCGACAATTCGTGTCTTGAATTTGACAATTTTTGATGACACTGTCTCTGCGTCCTCGTATGGGATGAGCATAAGAGCGTGAAACTCGTCTCCACCTAAGATCTTGAAGATATCAGTACTCTCCTCGTACTTCTCATTAACCTCCCGAAGGACCTGACGCACCGCCTTCTCGATCCTCTCTCCACGAAGCTGTTTCATCACCTGATTGATTTCACTAAGGATCTCCTCCTCAACGAGCATCTTGAACTTTTTCTTCAGGCTTCGTCTTTCAATATATCTGCAAAAAGGGAAATTTCAAAAGTTAAAACTATACTGGTTATCGTTCCACCAAAGTTGCGTAAAATAAACTGTTATTCGTTACAGAAATTGTCCTCGTGTCAAAGAACAGCACTGAATCAATATCAATTATAACAGTGACTTAATGTTTTCTGAGAATTTCAACTCCTTCAAACTAACGAGTGTAATTAAAAACGTCGAAATTCTTATCAAACAAAGAAATAGAATATTTCCTGATGAGATTACGATGTAACCATAACATTAGCCATAGTTATCTTTTCATTTCTTAAAACTCTGTGTTATAACTTCTCTGACAGCATTCAACTTTTATCAAGTTCTTATCAAATAAAGTACTTCTACTTCTAAATGGTACTGACCAACTATAACAATTTGAAGATAAAATGTCAGACGAGGAGTGAAACATGGAAAGAGATTGTTTTTAAAAGATACGAGATGGTCTAATTTGCGTTTGAAAAGTGACGGTAGAGGACTGATTTGAATAACTCCATTGTGGGGCTCGAAATAATGTCAGGTGGGAGTTTATTCCACTCGGGTATAGTTCGAGGGAATAACGATGCCTTTCTGGTCTGGGTTTTTGAGTGGGGAATTTGATACGAAAACTGGTGTTTTGTTCGGGATTTTCTAACTGTAGGGATTAATCTGTCTGATTTTACGATAGCGACTTTCTGGTTTACAATGTTATGAAGCAAGGTCAGATGAGCATCTCTACGTCTATCTGCTAGTGGGCGCAGCTTTAGGTGGTCCAACATTTCTGACACACTGGAGGTACGATGGTTGTACCTGTGCTTATTGAGCACATAGCGCGCTGCCCTTCGCTGGACCATTTCCAACTTGTCAATATTTGTTTGGGTGTGAGGGTCCCATACTGTACAGGCATACTCAAGTGATGGTCGAACTAATGATTTGTATGCCTGTACTTTGGATGATGTTGAGCCAATTTTTAGATTTCGTCTTAAAAAGCCTAGCGTAGAATTTGTTTTTGGGCAGATAGTATTTATATGTGAATCCTATTTAAGGTCAGATGATAGTGTTACACCCAGATACTTGGCCTGACTAAGATGTTCCAGTATGTGTCCATGTAAAGTATAATTATGGACTATTGGAGTTTTGTTTTTAGTCACCGACAACACATTGCATTTGTTTGGGTGGAAGATCATTTTCCATGTATTTTCCCAGAGCGCTAGTTTGTCAAGATCTTTTTGAAGTGTTTCAGCATCACTGTTGGACTTGATAACTAGATATGCAATAGTGTCGTCTGCAGTACGACACTGTATGTTAGAGTATCAGGGATGTTGCTACCAGGAAAGGGAGCGTTCATGATAGCAAAATCGAAATCGTCACGCTTAACATACAGCTCTTGTAGTAAGCCGTCCATGAGTTGTTTTGTAAAGAAAACTCAAAGGAATCACTGTATACGAATTATTTTCACTCACTCCATCTGGTTTCTAAAGACGTCTGGTATAATTGCCATTACGTCCCCTGCTGCGTACTCTACCATCTCATCCGTCAGGGGGCGCTGTGACCAGTAGTCTCCAATACGCGACATCCACATTTCCTTCAAATTACAGAAAGACCTTTATATTATGAATTAATCGATATGAATAAACGTATCAATATAGGGTATCCAACGAGTGATGACTGATTATGACATATATTAGATATTTCTAAAAAATTCGATAAATCATAATAGATTTCCGAGTTGGATACAACCAAATTTGTACGGAGATACCACCCAAGGTTCAAACGTACTCTTTAAACAGGTATCGACTTTAAATAGAGTATTGCTGTATGTATTGTCAACTGCTTTGTGAGAATGAACATAGGGTAGACCCTTAAGAGAGAGGATTGCTTAAAAACACAGGATTTAATTTCTCGAAGAGAAAGTTTGATATGAATTGTGATGTCATAAAGTAGTGTTAGGTCACCCTGCGAGATATTGTTTCTCAAACTGTCAAAATGCAAAAGAAGAATGCAAGGGCAAGAACTGATCCAGGAATACAGCTATTATTAATGGGATCAACAATGATAAATTTGTAATATATTTTATCATTTATATGTGGTCAGTCAGGTGAACAACCACGAAAATAAATATTCGTGAAAATTGAGTGATCTCCAGAATGCTTATATTAGTATAATGACTGAATAGATGCTTTGATAGCCTAATGATAGAAAACAAGTCCTGTCTGATTTTACATTTTCACATTTATTGATAGAACTTTTTATATTGCTATCAATGTTAGAAAATTGGTGATCAAAGCAACCAATTAAAAAGGTTATACGTTACCTTGACATCGGCTCGCCAGTCGTATGGGTGTGCGTTTTCGGAGTAAGACTGACACGCCTCGGACAGACTGAGTCTGTTGGGCAGACGCCGGCCATTGTCTTCCTCTATCAGCAGATGACCAATCTATAACAATAGCAGTACATGTAAACGCTAATAATAGTACCAGCTGACAAATAAAAAGCTGGAATCAAAGACAAACCAATAGAAATTGAAAACATATTCAGTTCAACTTTCTGTGTATGTTTCATTTTAAAGGAAATCAAAACAAGAGTAACCTGCACATACTATCATTATTGAGCTGTTGGAATCTTTGCGGACCCTGTGTAACACTTAAAAGGTGTGTATATTGGACCCTTGAAATGAAATTAATCAATCACTGGAAATCGCATTTAAAGACATTACAATCTTGCCCATTAAGTTATCAGAATATTACAAACATTTTGTTAACAGAAATAAATTATCACAGCGTGAGCATAGAAGTACATTGTGCTTGAGAAGTGAAACCGATTGCTATGATATGCATTTGACAAATCATGTCGATGTTCGGGTAAAGTCTCCAAACATTTTAAAATTGTAAACAATTACTAGTAAATGCAAAGTAAGGAACTATATATTTTAAATAGTTATAAAAAGCAAAGAAAAGTAAACATTTTACAACAATATATGGCTATTTTGTCCAGTTCAGACTAAACAGTGATATAAAAGAGTATCACTAAGCTCAAGACCTGGAAATCTACTAGCAGAGTCAATCACCTTCTAACGTAAACTAATCAGTAGATATCAGAGGAATGAAGCACCTGTTTCAAATTTAGTTATTCGGAAACAAAAGTGAAATAAAGTAAACATTTTCTAGTTCACATGGCTATTTCGTCCGGGAATCTCCAACGGTATAACAGGTAGAAAAAAACGTAACCTATGCATTAAGTTTTCCAAATCTCGTGTAGAATACAGCGAAAAGGAACAGGTGTCTATTAAGTTAAACATATTTGACTACTGCAACGTCCAGCAATTCCGTTTATCCTAACCAAACAGAGGTACTAAAAGTCAAAGGAATCAAATATCATCTTTGAAGCGTCCGAAACATATATAGAAACACACTAAAAGGGGAAGGTGAATATATAAAGCCTTAATTCATGTAACTTTACAAAAAGTGGACGGATATGCATATTGACGTTTGACCTTCGAACTTTTAGAGGAATTTAACACGTGGGTATCAACACTGTAAGAATGACAACATGGACACACAACGTGTTGTGTAAGGTACCATGGAACATCAACACTGAACAAAGGCAACACTGATATAAGAAACAGAAAGGTGATCACATTCCTGATAATCATTCTAGGAATTTCTGATTATCGTTCTAGGAAACGTCTTCCAAATCAGTAAAGCAGGCTTTTTGGCATATAAATGAATTTATAAATATGAATGTACTGTCAATGTTTGAATATGAACAGAAGGAATGTTTATTTTAATACATCATTTCGATCAAATTAAATATTATTATCATTGTTATAAATGAGACTGAAGAATGAATGATTTAGATTATAAGAGGCCTCCTGCGTGAGGTTTTATTATATAATAGGGATGAACGCGGGCCACCACAACCCTGGCATCCCTTCCAAAAGATGCAATTTGAACCGAAAAAAAATAATCTTTTCAAATAGAAAGACAGCATGACATTATGTACAATTGTGTACAATCTACTTGGTACTGGTTATATGAAGTCATATGGAAGCCAACAGGGTCACACTGCTATTGGATGTGGGTACATATCTGGGTATATCAGAAACTCCAATCGAGGGAGACAACTTGGACAATGATGATACGTACCTGGGTATCAAAGACGTTCCTCAATCTCACAGCAAACTGGTAGAAGAGGGCGGCGCTCAGTTGGCATGATGAATGTGTTACCTGTAAATCGAATTTATTGTTAAAGTCAGCAGGTATTTTCGCTATACTGTATAACAGAACTGCATAATCATGTGAGGTGCGTGTTTTGCATGTGCATATTTGAAACATGTTTGTACACATTAATAGCCGGATTATTTCCCTCATAATTTTGCCGATAATGTTATTACTTATTGAAGTAACCAAGTAATAGCACAGCAACAAAAGAAATCAAGAAAGTGCTAGGGATACAGCGGCAGACACAGGGACAGAAACAGCGGTAAGCTGTCAACACTTTTTGCGGGACTTCAAAATAATTCAAAAGTAATGAACGATTAATCAACCGACAGACATATCTCCCAATCTAAATTACAAACAAACTGCAGCCCTGATTTTATAACAAACAAATATATGATAAGCTTAAGACGGATGACTGTTCAGGTTTTACAGAAATAAAATTTATTTGACAGACACCTACCTGTTCAGTGATAATTTGATATGTATTCAACAACACATAGACACAGACACACAAGCCAGACAATGTCAATATCACTTTACTGCTGTTCAATAAGTATATACCAGTATTTAGTTTACCGTATTGCCCTTTCTGATGCTACACAAGGTTCAACAGTGTTGTCAAAATACCAGGTTAGCACATTATCGAGTGTACATCTTTTAAATGATCGTCTATATCACTGTAGTAAAACATACGTATACATATAAGTACCCTTTAAACTTTTAAACACACAAGGTCAATTTTACGGGACGGGTTTAACACACTGGTTTAGCTTTAATGTAAACAAATAGGAATATCGATTATAAAAGATTTAAACTCCTTCAGGGGATTAAGGGTATAACATAATGAAGATTGCTTCTACATTCATGTAAGAGTAGTAGGGCATGCTTTTCCCATAGTGCCATTATATTCAGTTGTAATTTTCCCGGTTTTTTGTATGTATCTGCAGTAATACTACTCTACTTTGTATAATAGTGCAATGATTTTAAATCACTGGACATGTATATATTGCTTTCGTTTTTAATCGGTATGAACATATCACTTTTTCATACGTCACTTAGTCATGTCCATGAGCAAATAAAGCTTGACAAAGCTGAATTTAAGAGCCGTATTTATATAAAAGTTTCCATGCTCAAACTAAAGTTAAGAATTTAAATGGTTCTCTATGACTTGAATAAGAAACTCGGCTTCAATAAAGAATCTGAGTTTGAGCACTGCGGCATAAATTTATTTATATATGGAGACCTGGTCCCGTATTCTTGAAATCGTTCTCATGCTCAACCATGGATTTTGTGCTCAAACAAACTTTCTAGTAACTCACTTAAATGATCAAGTAGTCAAATGTTAACAATGAGAAGAGTATTCGGCTTTAAGTCTCTTCAATTTTTCCAACATTATTAAAATAATACAGGTTTTATAATTAATTTATAACGGAAACAAAAAATAAGCCTTGAACACAAAATCCATGCTTTGAGCATGAGAACGGTTTCATAAATACGGGACCAGGTCTCCATTTATAAATAAATTTATGCCGCATCGTATTACAGATGATTCATTGTGGGAGTCATTGTATATATGTTTCAGAAGGTGTATTTTAAGTATACATAGATATATGTAAATATGGCATCTCCGTTCCCAATCCAAAGGTGGGTAGTAAAAAATGGAGAAAAAAAATAGTATTCACACACAAGGGGAGTGGTGGCAATGACACTATGAAAGGAGGAAATAGTGACACAATAGTATAATACAATTACATTCATTTTTCATATGACGATGTCGTTAACATTGATATGATGGTAAGATATTGAAATTATTGGCTAATTTAAATGTATTTTACATTGTTGTTGCCTTGTTTTGTTCCATGGCCTGATATTGACCTTTGAAGTATTATACCCTTGTAATGTTTAACAATCAACAGAGTAAATATTTATTAGCATATGCAAAACGTTGCTAGTACTCTCCTGTTTTCACTTGGTTTTACTTCAGGAATTTTAATAGTGTGATAATTTATTCATGATAGTATTCTAACACTGTACATAGTGAAACTGACTTCGAATTCCAGACTGTTCAGGAACAGAACAATAGGTTTTGTATTTTATATAATCAATTTGTGTCCTATTGTGCATACAACAATGTGGACTATATAATGTTACCAATGTTTATATAAAGAAAATCATTGACTTTCGCAACGGTAGTCATTATAGTAGTTTCACGTCATTTAACCTTTTCCCATGACTTGAAAGACCTGTATGCCCAGCTTTATCGTGAGACTATGTTTGTTTATTAAGCGAACGTGTTCCCACACATTGAGGTTGTCAGCAGTCAATGTTTTTAAAGCTTTGTTCTGGTAAAAATATGCCTGAGAAACCACGTGTCTTTATAACCTTGTCAAACTTGCCATGGATGCAAGACCTCCACAGACTGGCTTGCTTTGTAACCACAGTCAAGTATGCCTCAGGTAACACCTGTCTGCCACTTCAATCAACCCTGTCTTCAAGACCATACTGGGAATCTGCCTTCAACTACATACATGCTTTAGCGATCAGGTGTTTTAGAGTACACGTACGTCGTCTTCACAATACAGTCAGATATATCTTAGGGGACACTAATCTATATATATCGTCTGTATAACGATACTCAAACCTGCAATAGGTATATCTTAGTTCTGGCTTTATAACCAAAGTCAAATCAGCTGGATGTCTCCGGTGAGGTAGCACTCTACAGTTGGGATCATATCCGCGCTATCGCAAGGGAGCATATGTATTCACCAACATGCCCTGCCTCTAGCACTCATACCACATATATACCACATGCCCGTCTGCACAACACTCATGGAGGCGCATCCTTAAATGATCTTAGCTGTTAATATGACGTTAAACCTACTAAAACCCAACCAGATGTCTTAGATACATCTACACCCCGTCTAAAATATATATATATATATATATCTAAAAGAATATATAAACTTTTTATGGTTTTATTACCTTCAGTATATCTTCAGATTCCAGTAGAAATCGCAATCCTCCTTTATCGAATAACTCCACATTCACAAGCGTATCAAAGATGTAGACCTTTCCATGAAATGTTCCTATTTGGAATAATGTAAGGGGTCCATCCCCACCCATATGTATTCCCTCACCAGCAATTCCTAACATAAGTTCGCGCTTCAGCTGGTGGACAAGTTGGCGACACCTAGCGGTGTCCAACACAAGCTCTTTCTCGTGGAATATAGCAGGTTCCATGGCCCGGAATTGTTCTGTTGATGTAAAATGAACAGGTAAAATAATTTAAATAATATCGACCCCTTGACCATAGGCAGATCGACTAGACAAATAGTTAAATGTTTTAGCACTACAAATACCAATTAATGAAATACCTGATATCCAAGCCACGGGATCATGAAGCAATCTTAGACTTAAGTTTTTTCTTAGCCAATCACGTATGACGTCACTTTTCATGACGTTGTTTGTGAATGGCTAAGTCCAAACGTAAGACGAATTTAGATATAAGATCGTTACATGATCCTGGGGCCAGGACGACAAAAATATTAGTTTACCATACATTTGTGCCCGGGAATTAATATATAAATATACATATCACTTTATGACAAAGTCGAGTTTTACATTGGGACAATATGAATCTAAAATAATATACAGACGAATAGACTCAATAGAAAACCACTATTAAGCATTCATGTCTCTTGAGGGACCACTGTTTGTTTTCTCGCATATCGATAATGATAATAATAATATTCGAGGTTCTTATATACCGCTTTATCACAAACTAGTTCGTAGGTCGTCTCAAAGCGGTTCACAAACTATTATCCGTGGCTATAGGGTCTTTGCAACAAGCCAATATCTTTCTCGACTCCCTGGGGAGCAAAAGCCGGTGCTGCCATTTTGGCGCTCACAGCTAGCATTCAATTATTCTAGCACTGCCCAACCACGTAATCATGTACAGCTGAGTAGACTGGAATAAGCGGAGAAGATACAACATAAAGCCGTGACGTGACTCGAACCCGCAACTCTTTGGTCACGAGCCCGGCGGCATACCACTAGACTACCGTGCCTTCTAAGTAGGTTGCTATATATTAATATTCTATAAGAGACCAGTTCTGCTAAGAGACTACTTTTCAGCCACCTCTTTGACAGTCTCTTATTGCAGATCTAACTGTATATCGTTTTAGTAAGCAACTATTTTAAGAATCTAAACTTGGTTTATACAGTGACAATATCAAATTAAAAATTATAACTACAAAGTTTGAAACAAAGATGTAAAGGAACACAGAATATTTCAAACATTAAAAAAATCCGACAATTCTATTTTTTAATTAAAAGCACCATTTAATGAATCAAACTCAATAAGACTTATGAAACACGTAACAATATGAACTTACCAATCCTAGCCGCAGGGAACACGGGTAACCCAGCAAACGTCGTCTCCGCCATATTGTTGTGGGTTGTGTTATATGGCCATCAGTGGGGCGTTCTGTGGTCACTGTGAAGTGTGAAGTACAATATGTAAGGTTTGTTTATTACAAAATAACAGTTTCTGTTATCAATCAAAGGCAATATTGATTATAAGGACGGCAGTCGGAATCTGTATCATTTGGTCAATGTTGTTTTAAAGTATAATAATATTTACTTGGTGATTTTACAGTATCGTAAACAACGTTTATACAATGCTTATTTTCGCAACGTGCAAGGGAAACATAAATATTTGTTTCCCTTCGATCAATAATGTTTCCCTCGGGCGAATTATTGTTTAACCGTGATACATTTTATATGATGTATCCCCGGCGAATATTAATGTTTGCTCTCTGCAAGTGAGACAAATATATGAGTCTGGAGAAGACATATATCCAAGTAAATACCACCAACTGCTTATTTACAAGAGACAGATGTCGACCGTTGTATATAATTGCGTGAGGAAATGTGAGGTTCTATTTTGTCGTCATGCAATTATGCAATCCAATCAAATATGTTTTTGATTGAGGAGATAAATTAAAACTTGTAAATATGTGGGTTTAACTTGTTGAATGATATAACTATCTGATTATACTAAACAATTGTCGCTCTGAACATTCTGCTATGCGCACACAACTGTAAGGATTATCTACGTGTATTTACTGTACACATGAATTGTTTAAATAGATAGTTAAATAGATTTAAGATATTTTTTTTATTATTTCCAAAGTACAAATCCATAGCTCCTAGTTAACTACGTACATTAATCTATTTTACACATAGACATGCAATTTGTCAAATATTGTGGAAACCCGATACCTTGTCAGTTTATTGAGCAGTTGGTTAAACATATTGTCCCAGGCTAGGTGTAAACGATTTACCGTTGATTCAGCTTTTTTTGTTTTGTGTTTGCACGACATGTCAGCTTATCAAGGACTTTAAAATTAAACATTTAAGAAATATTCATTCGACATTTTTCATATTGTTGATTAAACTCTTCATTCGAATACCAGATATGTTCGCGGGTATGGAATCACGCAAAGGCTACTTATTGTTATGCAACAAATCAATAAAAAGAAAAATCGATAAAAAGCATTTCTAATAGTTTGCTTCGTTGACTGATGAACACCTCACTTTATTGTCCTATTGACATATTATCATATATTTGTCAGTTTATTTGTGTTTAGAAGACATATAATGCAAAATGAAAATAACACATATTTAACACAACGTCACCACAGCAATATGAAATCGGCGTATAACTAACGCAGTCTGTAGAGTGACAATGTCACACTAATCTCTATCTTAGCTGTCAAATAATATCGTAATACGATACTCTGTGTGTGTCTACTGATCATACACACACACAATGCAACGTTAGATTTAGCATAGCTGACTTAATAAGTGCCTCAAAGTATGCATAAGATACTCCTGTTATATATATATTTATGTTTAGAAAAACATGTTATCATAATTATAACATAATTTGTGTCGTTTTTATATATTATGTTTCAGCTTTAAGAAAATGTCAACATTTGACTGACACAAAGATGCAAATAAAACTATATACATGAAAATATATATCAAACAATTATATAATATATATAAAAAAGTATATATTATAATGGATTTTGACATATATAGGTACTTATAAGTATATCAGTACACATTCCGATTTGCACTAAGTCGTCCCTGAGTTAGCGGCCCAATATTTCTCTATTTGTGATAATTTCAGACGTGTGTTTTACTTGCATTAATACATACTACTTCAGTGTCCTTTCAACAAAAATATTAGTTGAACGAGCCCTATTTCCGGCATTTTTCATTTCATTTTTTATTGATTACAGTTTCCTATGCAGTTTAGTTTAGACCTACCTATGATTCACTAAAATGTCAAATTTGTCTGACATCTTCAATTCGGATGATACACTTTGATATAAATGTTTTATATTGTCAATACGAAAAGATTCTATATCGAATTTTGTTTTCAATTTGATTTTCATGTGGATGAGTTTATAAAAAAATATTGGCAGCTATTTCAAATAAAATCATAGGTAAATATATATAAAAAGCGTCGACATTATATATATTACAGGAAAAATACACAAAATCAAACGTATAATATATAAAATACTTTATATTATACTCGATATTATATTATAGGTAAACATTTATAATGTACTACGTAATTTTATAGGTATACAATATATAAGGATTATTAAGTATAATATTAATCATCACATACAGCAGCATATGTACGATATGCAATATCATAGATGTTACCTATTATATATAATAATTGTAGTTATATTTAATATGCTAGTACAATGATAAAATACCCATAACGAGACCAGTCTAAAAAATATATATAAAGTATGCATGTTGTGACTTTTGATGCTGTCTTGGTAATAAAAACATCCTTTTGATTACAAAAAAACCCCATTGTATTGATTTATGGTAATTGATATCGTTGTCTGCAGTATCGTAAAGATGTCACATTAACCCAGATTTTTGTGTATGACCTAATTTCTAGAAAGTGGTCATTAATATTTAATGACGAGATGTTGCCTGCAGTTTGTAGTTCAATGGATAAGGTTATTTTCTATCATCAGTTATATCTTGGTATAGAACATCCCTATCAAACGCCCTGACATCATTCCTATTCCGATGATTAATGTCTGTTTAGATGTTTCTTTGCGATTCGTGATAATGCTATACTGTACTGTTGTCAAGGTATCAGCCTTTGCTGTAACTACCGAGGAAGTTGTGAGATAAAAATCGTCATGTTTTTCATAGAATATGTTAGATTAATGTAAATTATGTTACATGTATTATGTTGTAATTCAGTTTTCTTCGATTGTTTTCTTACATTAAAGTAATGCCAACTTATTCAAGTGCAAGACTGTATTTACTATGAGTTTTAGAATGTCGACTTTAAAGTAAACAAACTTTAATTAGAGAATCAAGCATCTTGCTTTATTAGGTATACAATATATCTAATGAAGTTCTGCTAACACGATCAGCTGTTTGAAATCCGTCACATGTTCAGTGTATAAACACCGGATTATATTAATACACCAAGTTGAGTGTTAAAGTATTGATTAAAATGAAAAGATTTATGTTGATACGTAGAAAGGCTGTTCTAAACGTAAGTATTTCCCACTTACAGACAGATTACGCGTCATTATTGGGTATTGTACTGGTGATTTGTATACAAATGTCAACATGACTGAACAATAAAAGCTAGAGATGTTTTACTGTAACTATTATAACTTTACATACCAGTGAAACGTATCTTAAAACTCAACTCTGTCTATAACTCCTCCTGTCTATGAAACCCATATGTATATATTAACACCACCTGCCTATAAGCCCCATCTGCCTATAGAGCCGCGATTTACATGCATATATGAACCCTGACTATCGATAACATCCATATGTCTATAACCCATTCCTGTCTATAAAACCCCTGTTTTTAAAACTAAAATGTCTATAACAATATTAGTCCATCAAATCAAGTAACTATACAGATCACGTGTCTTTGTCGTTGGCACTCGGTATCACCATGATTGGTATGGTTTACCTAATGTGTCGTTTACCTGTATAGTTATTTACCTTTAACTTACCCTTGGCTTATTTATCTACTTATATTGTTAATTAAATGTTTTCTCTCCTTATAGTATGATATACATGTGATTTACCCTTAGTTTTCTCTCCCTAAAGTATGATATACCTGTGATTTACGCTTAGTTTCCTCTCCCTTTAGTGTTATATACCTGTGATTAACCCTTAGTCTCATCTCCATATAGTGTGACTTACCTGTGATTTACTCTAAGTTTTCCTCTCCCTATAGTATGATATACATGTGATTTACGCTTAGTTTCCTCTCCCTATAATGTGCTTTACCTGTGATTTATCCTTAGTTTCCTCTCCCTTTAGTGTGCTTTACCTGTGATTTACCCTTAGTTTCCTCTCCCTATAGTGTGCTTTACCTGTGATTTACCCTTAGTTTCCTCTCCCAATAGTGTGACTTACCTGTGATTTACCCTTAGTTTCCTCTTCCTATAGTGTGACTTACCTGTGATTTACCCTAAGTTTTCTTTCCTCTCCCTATAGTATGATATACCTGTGATTTACCCTTAGTTTCCTCTCCCTATAGTGTGACTTACCTGTGATTTACCCTAAGTTTTCTTCTCCCTATAGTATGATATACCTGTGATTTACCCTTAGTTTTCCTCTTCCTATAGTGTGACTTACCCGTGATTTACCCTTAGTTATCTTTACACCCTATGGTGTGATATACCTGTACCATGATTTATATAAAGTGTTAAATACCCGGTAGTGTAATTTACCTGTAGTGTGTGTACTTGCAATGCAATTTACATCTGTACAGTGATTTAGCTGTAGCGTAGTTTACATGTGGTGTGATTTACCTGTTCATTATATAGGCAGCTCGATAGATATGGAGAAAATAATTTGATTCAAATTCTACACCTAACATTTACAGCTGCACCTTCATTCTAGTTATCTTTACGCTGAGGTGAATCAAAAACCAATACCTCAATCAGGTTGAGAGTTTGTGTGTATATTATACCTATCTACCGTGTTATGTCATTGATAATGGCCCAGTCGTCTGTCGACCTTTACTACTGAGATCGTGTAAGGAAGTGAATATAATCGAATTTAGTTAATGCTGTTTTGACTGAAACATGAAAGATAGAAAATTCGTTTATAATATTGAACCTTGTCTACAATATCTTACTTGGTCTATAGCATAATATGTTTAAAATACTCCCCATCGGGATCCCAATAGCAGTAAGTTGCTTTCACATTTAAACTATCGAAATAATAAGTCCTGCATTATTAAGTTTAACTCATTCGCCCCTACAAAATTAAAATGGACTTGCCCTGTCCTTAAGTTGGTACGGTTCAAATGTGAATGTATGGGTGAATGTGTTAACCATCTTTTAAAATAAGTTGTTTTGCATTTATGATACACTCACTATACACAAGCTAACACTGCTCTGTTACAAGGTATACAGCTAATTCATTATAAGTTATTTACTTCAGTTCAAATGAAATATAATGTATTGAAATACATTATGTATAATTTTATCATATTGGATGACGTTTTATTGAATTATATTGAATTCAATTATATTGAATTTAGTCATATTGATTTCAATTATAGAATTAATTAAATACTGAAGTAAATAATATGGGTGAAAGTTTCTTTCTAAAACCTACCTAAAAACATTGTGTCCTGATTATCATTTGTATTGTTGAATCTTATGTTAGTCCTTAGATCATGCTTGTATTACCATCATGTCCCCTGGCACGGTGAGTTTATCTTATAGATAATGGCCTTTAAATTAAATGGCTGACTACATTAGTGTTAACATTAATCATGTGTACTGTCATATCATACATACACAGACACATTAATATCGCTTATCCGAAACCGTTCCCGTTGTAAGAACACTCGATTCTTGGTTTGGTGTAAGTGGAAGTTATATCTACATTCAACACCCTTTACAGGGATCTACTGTTCACATGTCAATTTTAGTACTCCTGATGCCCATCAAACCAGGTATGAGATTTGTTATAGATAGGCCGTGAGTAGTGAGAGCAACCTCAATTAAATCAGTAACATGGTAAGGGGAGGAACATGTAACAACCTTAGGTGAAACAGAATCGGACCTTAATGTATGCAAAAACAGGAACCCAGAAAAACACCAGAAAAAAACCGAAAAACATCATAAACCTCGATTGATATCCGAAACTGACACCAGCTACACCCACATTCAACATATGTTAGAATGTGCTATTGTCATTAAAAGCCCACCCCTCTCTCCAACCATAAATACATACAAAATATACTATAATAACATATAGACAGGTAGGAGTTATAAACAGGTAGTAGTTATAAACAGGTAGGAGTTATATACAGGTAGGAGTTATAGATCGGTAGTAGTTATAAACAGGTAGGAGTTATAAACATGTAGGACTTATAGACAGTAAGGAATTATAGACAGGTGGAAGTTATAGATCAGTAATAGTTATAGACAGGTAGGATTTATAGACAGGTAGGAGTTATAGACAGGTAGGAGTTATAGATCGGTAGGAGTTATAGACAGGTAGGAGTTATAGACAGGTAGGAGTTATAGACAGGTAGGAGTTAAAGACAGGTAGGAGTTATAGATCGGTAGGAGTTATAGATCGGTAGGAGTTAAAGACAGGTAGGATTTAAAGACAGGTGGAAGTTATAGATCGGTATTAGTTATAGACAGGTAGGAGTTAAAGACAGGTAGGAGTTATAGATCGGTAGGAGTTATAGTCAGGTAGGATTTATAGCCAGGTAGGAGTTATAAACAGGTAGGAGTTATAGACAGGTAGGAGTTAAAGACAGGTAGGAGTTATAGATCGGTAGGAGTTATAGACAGGTGGAAGTTATAGATCGGTAGTAGTTATAAACAGGTAGAGGTTATAAACAGGTAGTAGTTATAAACAGGTTGGAGTTATAGATCGGTAGTTGTTATAAACAGGTAGGAGTTATAGACATGTGGAAGTTATAGACAGGTAGGAGTTATAGACAGATAGGAGGTATAGACAGGTGGAAGTTAGAGATCGGTAGTAGTTATAAACAGGTAGCAGTTATAGACATGTAGGAGTTATAAATAGGTAGGAGTTATAGATCGGTAGTAGTTATAGACAGGTAGGATTTATAGATCGGTAGAAGTTATAAACAGGTAGGAGTTATAGACAGGTAAGAGTTATAGACAGGTGGAAGTTACAGGCAGGTAGGAGTTATAGATCGGTAGTAGTTATAAACAGGTAGGAGTTATAGACAGATGGAAGTTATAGATCGGTAGTAGTTATAAACAGGTAGGAGTTATAGACAGGTGGAAGTTATAGACAGGTAGGAGTTATAAACAGGTAGGAGTTATAGACAGGCAGTAGTTACATAGAAGAGGTGGCTATCCACAAGTTATAGGAATGGGCAGGAGGCAGATACAGATACTTAGTTTCTGTGTATAATAAAGATTGTAGCTGTGGACAGGAGGTAGTTATAGACAGGTCGTAGTTATAATCAAGTGGAAGTTATATAGGTGGTAGTTACAAACAGGTTGGAGTTATAGACAGGTGTTAGTTGTAGACAAATTGTAATTGTAGACAGATGGTAGTTATAAACAGGAAGTAGATATAGACAGGAGGTGTATACAGACAGGAGGTAGTTATCCAAGGGTGATAGTTGTAAACCGGTGATAATTATGGATGGATGGTTGTTATAGACAAGTCGTAGTTATACACAGGTGGTAGTTACAGACACGTGTTAATTAGATAGGAGGTATTAATATACAGGTAGTACTTTTGAATAATGGGTAACTATATACAGGTAGTGGTTGTCGACAGCAAGTAACTATAAACAAGTGGTAGGTGTGTAGGGATTGTCTCGTAGATTTTACGAATATAAGATATCAATATATAATACTTTGAAACCTACTGTTATACACTTAATATAACATCAATACAATAATTTACAGTTATTACAGGAGGAAACACTTAATACTGTAGCAGTAATATTTACGATATATAGAAGAATATTGATATGAACATAACACTTACCGTGACAGGCTCCCGTACAGTCTAATCCTGACTGATATCAGGAGATATATCGACAGGGATATTGTAACCCGCACGTAGGTAGGTGTAGTGTAGTGTTACCTACCCTGTGAACAGATCCAATGATTGGGCCGTCTATTGACAACCACACTCGACAATATGGCGAGGAGTCACGGTCGACTAGTTCTGTGAGATAAAGCAATTACAACAGGTATACCCGGTATACAGGCACCGTTATATTTTACTAATAACTGATCTGTCTCGTCCAATAACCAATACACAAGGCATGTACCGAACAGTGGTGTGTATACATATACACAGACCCAGGTCGTAGAGATAGGTGTAGTTTCGCCTGTAGTGTTTGAGGGGAGGTGTAAAAACTTTCCTTTAAATTTAAGATAGCATGTACCTCCTCAATAAATCACACCGGACGGGTAAGTGTTTCTTGCAACATGTGGTATTTGTTGTTTTGTCCCTTGTCAAATATAGGAATATTTGTTCGATTAACAACGATCTAGGACAAAAAACCATTTTATTTTTATTTTAAGGGTATACACTAAAACGATATACATTAAAATTTCCTCAGTGGGAAACCCTGGCTACGTATTTACAGGTCAAGAAAAAACAAGAGATTATAAAAGCGCCAACAAAACCACTAGTATTATCACCTGATCGGTAGTCCGCTGAAAATCGGCCCTGTGCTAGCTTGATACATTTTCATTACTCAAGACATGTGGGTGAAAAAGAAATTGTTAAATTTCTAGCACCATTACCAATGCTTAAGACATGTGGGTGAAAAAGAAATTGTTAAATTTCTAGCACCATTACCAATGCTCAAGACCTTGGTCTGGAATTAACAGCGTAACGTCATGTACCGTCAGAATCTGTCTTCGTCTGAAAGACGCCAGTAAAATCGCAAAATGTCCTACCCTACAAATGATATCGGCAAGTAATTTGCAACATGCTTCCGATCTATAACAGTCCTTTACCAGTGTCTAACGCAACAGATTTTGTCTATTTAATTCAGTTTATTTGGCATCTTTATATTTATTTGGATGTAAAATATCGTTCAGCGGTGGCAATATTTATTAGTAATTTTTTGTATCTTCTTTGCTTCATTGCATTGCTCCAAATCTCCTCATCGTCCTTCAAGATATACATAACACACATACAGGAGGCTGCACTTTAAAATTTAGTAATACATACAGTATGTCAGAAATGATTTACACGGCATCGTACAGCTGTTTCGTCCTTCTAGGACTCATCAGTGATGCTAGAGGCCAAAATGTCGGAAATCCAAATAATGTCATTAAGAAAATTTATTTCATAATGTACAGCTCATCGTGCGCTTCATGCATACAGTGATGTGTCACTCTCCCAGCCAACTGGTTTTCGTTTTTATAATATGAAGCTGAATTTATCGAATACCTTATCAGGAAGAGTAAAACAGACATAGCTATTTTTTTATATTTCCATCATACATATCGACGATATCAGGACGAGTAAAACAGACAGCTATTTTTTATATTTCCATTATACATATCGACGATATCCGGAAGAGTAAAACAGACAGATATTTTTTATATTTCCATTATACATATCGACGATATCAGGATGAGTAAAACAGACATAGCTATTTTTTATATTTCCATTATACATATCGACGATATCAAGAAGAGTAAAACAGACAGCTATTTTTTTTATTTCCATCAGACACATCGACGATATCAGGAAGAGTAAAACAGACATAGCTATTTTTTTATATTTCCATCATACATATCGACAATATCAGGACGAGTAAAACAGACAGCTATTTTTTATATTTCCATCATACATATCGACGATATCAGGACGAGTAAAACAGACATAGCTATTTTTTATATTTCCATTATTCATATCGACGATATCAGGAAGAGTAAAACAGACATAGCTATTTTTTTATATTTCCATCATACATATCGACGATATCAAGAAGAGTAAAACAGACATAGCTATTTTTTATATTTCCATTATACATATCGACGATATCAGGAAGATTAAAACAGACATAGCTATTTTTTATATTTCCATCATACATATCGACGATATCAGGACGAGTAAAACAGACAGGTATTTTTTATATTTCCATTATACATATCGACGATAGCAGGAAGAGTAAAACAGACAGCTATTTTTTATATTTCCATTATGCATATCGACGATATCAAGAAGAGTAAAACAGACATAGCTATTTTTTATATTTCCATTATACAGATCGACGATATCAGGAAGAGTAAAACAGACATAGCTATTTTTTATATTTCCATTATACAGATCGACGATATCAGGAAGAGTAAAACAGACATAGCTATTTTTTTATATTTCCATCATACATATCGACGATATCAGGAAGAGTAAAGCAGACATAGCTATTTTTTATATTTCCATCATACATATCGACGATATCAGGACGAGTAAAACAGACAGGTATTTTTTATATTTCCATTATACATATCGACGATATCAGGAAGATTAAAACAGACATAGCTATTTTTTATATTTCCATTATTCATATCGACGATATCAGGAAGAGTAAAACAGACATAGCTATTTTTTTATATTTCCATCATACATATCGACGATATCAGGACGAGTAAAACAGACAGGTATTTTTTATATTTCCATTATACATATCGACGATATCAGGAAGAGTAAAACAGACAGATATTTTTTATATTTCCATTATACATATCGACGATATCAGGAAGATTAAAACAGACATAGCTATTTTTTATATTTCCATCATACATATCGACGATATCAGGAAGAGTAAAGCAGACATAGCTATTTTTTATATTTCCATCATACATATCGACGATATCAGGACGAGTAAACCAGACAGCTATTTTTTATATTTCCATTATACATATCGACGATATCAAGAAGAGTAAAACAGACAGCTATTTTTTATATTTCCATCAGACACATCGACGATATCAGGAAGAGTAAAACAGACATAGCTATTTTTTATATTTCCATCAGACACATCTACGATATATATAATCATTAAATAAAATGTCAATTTAATACATCCTTCTGAGCCTATATTACTATAAATCAGGCACATTCCTTTATCTTTACAAACATGACCAACAGAGACTTTTTATTAATAAGCTGTAAGATAAACGTTAGCATCCCCTTTTTAAATGGCAACACCTATTTCCCCTACTAACGGAGTTAACATGTCGCGATTTTCCTATCGTTTTTATGGCAACATCCTACTTCCACCTCCTACGGATTTTACATGTCACAATCGATAGATAGTCCGTGAAAGTTGTGCAATGCTGATGGACAAACATATAAAACAGGGTTTTAAGAGATGCAGGTTGATGGTTATTATGGGAAAATCTACTTCATGATCTCATTACAAAGCATTAATTTCCCTTTCCGATATTAATGTCGACTTTTTGATATGCTTATTAGTATTCCTGGTGGTGTCGTCACTATCACTGTTCCTACTTTGAGGGCAGAACATTTGTTGGATTTCGCCATCATTTTCACGACGGTTGACGTCGACGAAACAGGACACGTACTCACACAAGACAGCAGGTCTTATTCTCCTTTAGTTGTTCCAAGAATCTCAATCTATTCTTTGTTCATATTCTGCCTTAATTTTGTCGATATGAATTAATGTTATGTTCCCACTTCGGTATTTCCTGTCTTTTGTTTCTTATTTTAACACAGATAACACGTACAACGGCGTCAAGAAGTTAAGACTAGTTTTATTAATGAATAACGTTTCTACGACTCTACACCGCCTTTGAGAAGACACTAATGATATCGAATAAATTATCTATACAATACATGTTGTCACACTCCTTAGAACCATTTCGACATTACGTAAATATACACAATAAATCGTATAAATATCTAAGAAAAAAAATCGATAACAATTTTAGATCACATTTACGCAAGATATAAATAGAAAATTTCACTTTCACATACCGAAAACACTTCTGCAATAACTAAGCTGTTTACAAAGTATAGACATTTTCACTATATCAAATGCAAATAAAACTGCATCTGCACAACTTAAGCGTTGCAGTTTTATATAAGAGGATTTCCATAATGTCAACTTAAATCAAGCTATCCACGTTTAGATAATTAATTTGAATTAAAGTTTTAATTTTGTTAATTTTCAAAGAAAGTCAGGAATTCATAAACCACACTATCAACTACCAAGTTCTAAAAAAAAAACAATTACGGAAAGCGTTTTCATGAATTGTAAAGAAAATATTGGAGGGAAAGAAAGCAAAAATAATCATCAAACGAAATGAAATTTATCGATTTGATTTTAAAATAATGACTCATTCACCCCTCAAGATACATTTGAACTCTTCCAATTCAAATGTTGGAAAAGTTCGTTATGAAATTGCAGGGGTGAATGAGTTAAACACAAACAGAAGCACAATCGAAAAAATCCTTTAACAGTTTTCGCCCAACAATATAGAAAAAGGGAATTTATTCTAAAACCCAGCTTGAATTTAAAGACACCATTTAGAGAAATTTATCACTGACATTGACACATAGATGATATAGTATAAAAGTGAGAAAATATACTTTATATTACAGCAGAGAACCTTAGAGTACAGCAGGCGTCGGTAGAATATCACACAATATCACCAAAAACAACATCATCGGGAGGAAAAACAACATTAGAAATGTATGTGCTGAATATTAATCTGTGAAATCAATACATATCTTACCCTGTATATAATAACGGATTGAATAAATATGTAATAGGTTCATAATACAAAAAACGTTATATTTTATTTAAATAATTATACTGGTTTTTAACCACTCGATACGTTGTTAGAAAATTTGATCGTCGGCCATTTTGGGTGTGCTCTAGTAGACATTTTGTCAAGTCAATACAGACCTTACCCTGTATATAATAACGGATTGGTTAAATGTTTAATAGGTTCTTAATGTATAAACCATTAACAACATTTTAAGTTAAAAAATAAGGTAAGTTGTTAGTAAATTTGATCGTTGGCAATTTTGGGTGTGCTCTGGTAGAAGTTCAATGGCATTCATCGAGCTGCGATTTATCTACTGGCGTACCAAAGCATCATTTTTAGCAATACGTGTATATAAATAAGATACCTATGAGATCTTTCTACCATTTATACAACAGGTGCCTTATTCATTTAAACGTCACTCATTTCAAAAATTAAAACCGATTATAAATCATAATCAACACCTCACTGTAAATCAATAAACATATTTAACACGCTGTTGTATATCTCAAATACTACATACAATTTAATTGATAGAAATTGTATATTTAACTTACATCTATACATATACAAACAATATCAAATGTTAAACGTAAGACTCCCTTCGTTCAGTTCGTTGTTTAGTCTGGAGATTTTGGGCACAACTTAAGTATATCATTTACGTTTTCCTAAGTGTATATAACACTATATCGGCAACAAAGAACAGTATCCAATAAATATACTTGACTATTTTTAACAATATCCTCCAGTAATGGACTCAGACTTCGCTTTCCGTGTCTTTGTTTCATTTCATAATCAATCATACATTTTAATCAATAATTGTACTTTTGAGTAATAGAAATGCATTGGGAACTGTGAAAATACGATACGCTACATGCATGAAAGACCAAATCGGGGAAAGTCTACACTTTCTTTTCTCATTATCAAGACCATCTTCTCATAGGAATATAGATCTTTGAAACAATTATCCAAAGATGTCTACTAAAAATAACAAAACCTATCACCGTTTACAAATATCTACCGTTCTAACAATAAATTATGCTGGCGAAAATATTGCACAATCCTAAATTATCGGCGAAAAGTATGGTGGAAGACAGATCACTTTGTGAAGCAGCTATATAGTAACAGGGAGCTGCAGAATGACAAAATATTAACCCTTTCACCCCTAGGTAACTTTTGTAGACTCTACCATACATTTTGTTGGATGAGTTCATTATTGTCTACAGTGGTGAAAGGGCTAATGTAGTATTTGTCCAGACTGTCAGACCGGACTAGAGACGAGACAGGGTCCGAAACTTCAGGGTACCATCTCTTCCATGACATATTACTGCGTTGAACTTTGACTTTTGAATGGATTTTCATCCGAGTACAGAAAATACTGGCTTGCGATTGGTTAGATTTTCTTGGAAACACGATGAAGTCGATTTTAAATCACACCGAATAGACAGGTTCAGTTTTGCCAAGAAACAAGAAGTTAAACTTCCCAACCTGTGTTGATGTCATATCAACAATCGAAACCAACACTAATTCGTGATGCAAACTCATGAATATGCATATGGCACTTAATATTTTGAATTGAATATGTAGCAATAAAAAATGTGCAGATGGATTTTATTATCTTGACAATTTTGATAAAAGGATGTAAATGATTTTAATGAGTATGCATGTTAATTTATTAGGACAATCACGCAGTTTTTCGAGATATATTTAAACTGTATCTCAAAGATGTTTCAAATATTGATATTTTCATTAATTGCCATGCATATTCATTTTTCAATTTCATTTTTACTATCGGCAGTGTTTTTCATTTAACTAAGATATTTTATCGTTGCTATGTTGTAAGTCAGGAAAACTAGTTCAGTCTAAAATCAACTACATGTTTATGAATATTCTTTCCAACAATCACAAAGGTTTGACTTTTTCCGTAATTTTCTTGTATCAACTTCTTGATTTGCCGTAAAAGCTCGCGACTATCTTCTAAATACATTTTTCGTTATATAAATTTTTTTTTTGTTTTTTTGTTTTTTTTTGACGATATTATAAATCGACGTCATTGAGAAACAATATCTTTTCTATGAATGCAAAGCCGTTTCAACATTTACTTTCAAACTTACTAACTATTATTGAAAATCACACACGTACACAAGTAATCAAACTAAGGCCTGAGAGGGTCCAACCGATCAACACACACGTGTATGAGACGATAACAATGAGACCGGGGGAATAAGCTAGGAAATGGTAATTCAATGTAAATAAGGATATGTAAACAAAAAAATATAAAAAAAACCATTGTGACTCATTATTCCTTCTCAATCAGCGATAACAAAATGGGACTAAAAAGGAATATTTCAAATAAGAGTATTTAACAAAGAGAAATGTCTCAGACTTTGATCTCAATAAAACTTCGTTCACAAGTAATGCTTGTAATAATAACAATATGACATAACTTTCAACATTGTAGTACAATACAACAGATCTTTGACAATGAGTAAGAATACAATGCGTAAATTTACAAAGTACGTTTCAAGACTTGCAATGTTAATCTTAAAGGAAAATGGATTTCCACCATTAAAACGGTTATAATAAATATTTTAAATAAAGCCATATTGGAAATCAAAATTAGTGTAAAATGTTTAATTAAACGTAATTATTAATTAAAATAATTGTTTATAATAATTTGATAAATTTCTCAATGTTATATATCAATATTTATTCTTATTAACTCATTCACCCCTGAAGACACATTTGAAGTCTTCCAATTCAAAGGTTGGAATAGTTCATTATGACATTTCAGGGATGAATGGGCAGACCAGTGGACGGGACGAGTTTTGGGAATTTGTTGGCTAAACACAGGACTATATAATAAGTGTTCACACAATGTAATGATAAAAAATTATAGTTTATGCAATTAATCGAAGATTTGGCAGGATCGTATTTAATCATGCGTAGTTATTTGCGTAAATTTTTAAAGGACAGATCAATAAACATCAAATAACAAAGACTCTCTGTTATTTCGGCGAGGAATTGGATATGTTGTGAGAATTTCTACAAGATACGAAAGACGAAAGACAAAACGGAAAGAATATTCCTATAGTTAGTGAATGGCATAAACGTATCAAACATTTCCATTTGAGCAAACTGTTCTGACATATAATCGTAGGTCTTATATGTAAAAGCTAACACCAAAAATAGAATGTAAACCATACGGTCATTCTAAGAATATTGATATTAAAATGAAAAATTGAGACTGTTTTTTTGTCAGTTCAAACTTGCAATGGCACAATAAATAAGCCAGTGATAGAGTGTATTTGTTTTCGACAAAATATCGTCTGAGTGACATTTTACCGCCATATAATACTGTCACTGTCCTTCAGAATGTTTAACTTCGGATGTCTGTACCGATATATGACCATAGTCAGAAAGTTGTCGGAGGCAAGATGTTGCACTATAACTCCCAATACACATTGTTCTTCCTCAAAGTTTCAGGATCCCGCTGCACAACTCTGATCAGTTAATCAATAGACATATTTAACATGTTGGCTCACATCTTAAGTCTAAGTCAATAATCACGATGTGTTTGTCTTGGGTTTTGTCCAGTGACCCCGGTGGACGTCCGCAGGATCAACGGGCATGACAGAAGCCACTGCGACATCTGTCTTAACCACGACCACCCCTCCACCCACGGGCTGATTTGAGTCCGTTGTTGATTTACTCCAATGACCTTTTTTAGCACTAGGTGGTGGGGCGACAATAGGATCTTCAGGAGGTGTTTGAACAGGTCCCTTAACTGTCGGATCATCTTTCGTAGGTTTGGCTTTAACTGGTTTAGATTTAACAGGTTCAACTTTTGTAGGCTTCGCTTTAACTTTAACCTTATCAGAGGATTCTGCAGTGGAAGGAGGTGGGACTTCAGCAGGTTTAACTTCTTCGAGACTGTAAGTTTGGCTATCAGTCACAGATGCATCAACACCACTACTGGGACCTGACTCTCGCTTAGGAGACCTGGACTTACTCTTTGTCCAATAACCCCTGCGAAGATCCACCTCTACAGTAGAGGCAGCGAGTGAAGGGTCCGTGGATATAACAATCTGTCCAATACGTTCTCGGCTAGGTGATTTAGATTTACTCCAATGTCCCCTACGGACATCTTCAGCAAGTTCAGGTGGCACTTCGCTAGACTTTACAAAATCTATTTTCTCTGAGGATGTTGTTTTACCATTGATCATATCGGTCACAATGACCTCAGGGGTTATGACTTTTGTACTGGAACTGGCCACGAGATCTGGTACCTCTTGACCACGAGATGTTATAACTACTCCTCCTGTTGACCGAGTTGGGGACTTACTTTTACTCCAGTGACCTTTTCTCACCTCCGGCTTGCTGTCTGTGTCTGGTGGTGCTGCCATTGTGTCATAGCTTTGACTGACAACGTCTAACGGCTCCTGTTTTGGGGTTGTTATTATAACAGGGCCAGTTCGCGCTGGTGACTTCGACTTACTCCAATGACCCCTCCGTATATCTTCTGTCTCAGTATTACTTCCAGGAGGAGCGCTGTTTGTTTCATAGCTCTGTCGGGCAACGTCTAGTTGTTCTCCTGATTTTGGTCTGCTCCAGTGGCCTCTGCCTACATCTGGTTCATGAGAGGAAACACCCCGTGGCTGTAGGACCGACGGCTCCTGTTGTAGTACAGGGTAAGTGGTATCCCCTGGCTGATGACGTGGCGACACATCTACCTCTCTCTCCATATATTCATTTTGCGTGTTTGTCCTGCTCCAGTGACTGCGCCCTACCTCCCCCTTCTGATCGGGAAGTTGACCGCTCCTTGTCAAGGAGGATGTCTGACCACCACTACCACGGGTGAGTGACCCCTCCCTAGATGGACCTTGAGAGGCATTTCGTGTTGACGATCTGGAGTAGGAGCTCTCTCGGGATGTTTCACCATGGTCCCTAGACCTCTTCCGACCTCTCCTGAACAGCTTCTTTAAACTGCCCCCTAGAGATCGCGACTTCTTCAGGCTTGGCGTTTCTGGCTGAGCTCGCACAAGCTCTATGTCATCTGTAACAGGAAAAAACAATAGAAAATGACCAAAAAGGACACAAAACGGACATAAATAATACACAGAAACTTATAACAATACTACAGGTAAAGGATGATACGTTATACACTGAACAGAAATGAATCACTTTAGTCTGTGACTATTGCAGGCAGAATGAAACCGTAGGGTTTGTAAAATAATAATGATATTTCGTTGATGTTTAGAACATATGTTCAAGAACTTTGAGAATGCAGAAATCGTTGAAAACCAGTAGGCCTTTGTGATATTCTGCACTAACGGATTGGTTGATAAAAATGACTTATTGATGAGGTTAAAGAATAAACAATATACCCCTGAAGCAAAACGCGAAATTCTGCTGGTAATTAACTAAGAGTAAACCAAAATCAAAAGTCAGTAAATATTTATTTGGGTACACTTCTGACTGAGGAAATTCCTTATGATGCTATATTTGTTTCACAACTGACTGAAGAAATTCCTTGTGGTGCTATATTTGGGTACACTACTGACTGAGGAAATTCCTTGTGGTGCTATATTTGGGTTCACTACTGACTGAGGAAATTCCTTGTGGTGCTATATTTGGGTACACTACTGACTGAGGAAATTCCTTGTGGTGCTATATTTGGGTACACTACTGACTGAGGAAATTCCTTGTGGTGCTATATTTGGGTACACTACTGACTGAGGAAATTCCTTGTGGTGCTATATTTGGGTACACTACTGACTGAGGAAATTCCTTGTGGTGCTATATTTGGGTACACTACTGACTGAGGAAATTCCTTGTGGTGCTATATTTGGGTACACTACTGACTGAGGAAATTCCTTGTGGTGCTATATTTGGGTACACTACTGACTGAGGAAATTCCCTGTGGTGCTATATTTGGGTACACTACTGACTGAGGAAATTCCTTGTGGTGCTATATTTGGGTACTAACTACTGACTGAGGAAATTCCTTGTGGTGCTATATTTGGGTACACTACTAACTGAGGAAATCCCTTATGATGCTACATTTGGGTACACTACTTACTAAGGAATTCCTTCATGATGCTATATTTGGGTACACTACTGCCTTAGGGAATAGTTCATTATGAAATTTCAGGGGTGAATGAGTTCAGTCTATAGACTAATAATAATGACCAGGCCCCAGAATGATGAAACGATCTTAAGACGAAAACTCTCTAAAGTTTTGACTTAGCCAATCATGAATAACATCATGAAAAGTGACATCATATATGATTGTCAAAGCAAATAATAAAGTCTAAGAGTGTTTCGTGATCCCGGGCCCTTGACTAGTCAGTATAGTGGCCAATTTAGAGTCTGCAGTGTACAACGGTAAGTTAGACAACAGGGTATCTGTTAGCTAGCTTATGATGATATACGGGTATACAGTAATTTTTACTGTCTACCTTTTTGGTAGCTTACAACAAGAAGTTAATCTTAAGTATGCAGTGATCATGTATCTGTTTGGCAGATAAGTATTGATGATGTCTATAGGGTAAATATTGTGTGTATTATTTAGAAGCTTATAGTGAAAGAAAATAGAATATGATAGATTACTTAAATTTTGTACAGTATGTTCTTTTGCATTCATTTGCATTAAGCATTGATAGATAACAAATGGTTAAATACTAAGTACATGTTTGGTAGCTAAGATTACAATTGGCTAAAACTACTGGGTAACGGTTTGTTGGCAAGTTAATAAAGATTTGCTAAATATACTTTTTTCCTATAAGGATGTTAACAAAGACTGGCTAGACAACTTGCTAAGCTACTGTGCACCTGTTCGGAAGTAAACAGACTGACTTAATCTTAATTCTAATGTTGGGAAAATAATCAAAACTGGCTAAAGTTACTGTGTACCTTTAGGGAAGTTTATAAAGAGAGACTAGGGCTACTGTGTATTTGTTTTGAATTTCACAAAGACTGGCTAAAGCTATTATGTAACTGTTGGAATGTCACAAAGACTGGCTTAGCAAAAGTGTATCTTTTGGGAAGCAAACAGATCAACAGGTTAAATTTAATTGTAACTGTTGGGAAGTTAACAAAGTCTGGCTAAAGCTATTGTGTACCTGTTTTGAAATTAACAAAGTCTGGCTAAAGCTACCGTGTACCTGTTTGGAATGTAACAAAGTCTGGCTAAAGCTACTGTGTACCTGCTGGGAATGTAACAAAGTCTAGCTAAAGCTACTGCGTACCTGCTGGGCATGTAACAAAGTCTGGCTAAAGCTATTGTGTACCTGCTTTGAAATTAACAAAGTCTGGCTAAAGCTATTGTGTACCTGCTTTGAAATTAACAAAGTCTGGCTAAAGCTATTGTGTACCTGCTTTGAAATTAACAAAGTCTGGCTAAAGCTACCGTGTTCCTGTTTGGAATGTAACAAAGTCTGGCTAAAGCTACCGTGTACCTGTTTGGAATGTAACAAAATCTGGCTAAATCTACTGTGTACCTGCTGGGAATGCAACAAAGACAAACTAAAGCTACTGTGTACCTGCTGGGTATGTAACAAAGTCTGGCTAAAGCTACTGCGAACCTGCTGGGAATGTAACAAAGACAAACTGAAGCTAACGGTAAGTTAACAACAATTGGCTAAAGCTACTGCGTACCTGGATTGTGAAAGGATTCTAAAGGTGTGCATGAAAAACAAGGATAAATACAGGTAAGCATCTTTAAACAGCGCAGGTAGGAATTACATCAATCACCAACACAAGTCAGCAAGGACGTTTCTATTTCCTTCAATCAATTTTAAAGTTAAATATTTTTGGCAAGATCTTATTCATTAAAATATTTCTTTATTAAAAAAAAGTCAAATTGTCTGTTTATTTAAGTCGTTATCTCCATGCAGTTGTAATACAATCTTTCAGAAATATTCTGAAAAGGAAAACATGGACTGAAAAAACACCTACACAGTAGTTGGTAAATGTTTTTTTTTTTTTTTTTTTTCAATACCTTTAACTTGTAAGCATTAAATCTCTCAATGGTAGAAATGTAAATGCTAGTTAATTACAAGCGAGGCTGCAGGTGGATTCTTAGCCATTAACATCCATGTTTTATGTACATGGCTTGGAAACCCCAAGACACGTAAGTTTGCCCCTTCAATCAATTTTTGATATGCCACTCTATGACAGTTTTGAGTTGAATATACAAATTCAATATCATGCCTTCATTAAAATATTTGAGAGATAACTTGGGGACTTTTGAATGAAATTGAAATAATAATTTGTCATATTTATATCACTTTTATCAAAACACAATAATAACAATACATCCAAGTTGGATATAAGTATGTTCAGTGAGAAAATAATGAAAACTTAATAACTTCCTACTAAATAAAAACAGTTTTCAGTCCACAGAAAATGTGTTAAATTTCGGACAGACAAATTCTATGAAAAACTATTGATCCTAGACCTTCAATTTCACCTCATATCATAGTATTATACATGTATATTGGTTGTGTTTGATTTCTGACAAAGCATAGCATATAAAAGGACAAACAGAAAGATTCTACTTTACTGAACCAGTCAATCTCAATGTTGTCCATGCTTAAAATTTGCACCAACATAATGGACAAACATGTTTCAACCATTATTTATTCCATAAAAAATGGTATTCTATATATGGCAACAAAGAGAATTATATGACTATCCTTTGTTATATTTTCTAACTAAAGTTAGGATGATGACACTAAGATAACATTAAACTGTTCTAAACAACACTTAATATCAACACAAAAATACAAAACAACACAAAGACAAGGGCAGACAACTTTCAAAGGATGTACACAAAACCATGCTGGGATTGACAAGTCACGTAACATTTCTACAGAAACTATGATATTTTATTTCACGGTTGAACAAATGTGCCTCATTTAACCCATTCATCCCTAAAGTCACATTTGAACCCTACCAGATCAAAGACTGGGCAAGTCCAATTTAAAAATGTAGGGTTGAATGAATTAACTGTCGAGTACTACAACTTTCTTACACAATGACTTATACACTTTCAAGGATCCCTGTCCCAAGGCAATCTGCTATTCCCTATGTACAGTTACCTCCCTTTAATTTCATTTTGGATATAACTGTAGCAGTTGGAGCAGGACATTTCCATTGACCTGAGGTCCAATGTAGCTCATTCAGAAAGAGCGATAGCATAACAATCTGTTCAAATCCTAGTCTAGCCCTGATGGTTTTTATCACACAGAACACTGTTGTTGATTATATATATTTATTTTATTTCACCTCTTTCATTCCCCCTCAAATTTCATAATGAACTATTCCAACCTTCGAATTGGAAGAGTCAAGTGTGTCTTCAGGGGTAAATGAGTTAAAATCTAATTAGATATGGTTTTCTTTTCAGAACTGTTTTATCAAAGCTATAGTTTCACTGGCAAAATCGGTTTCCAGTGCTTAGTTTCAGTTTTCAACAGTGATATAGGCATGGGATTGTGTCGCTATTTCTCTGTAGAATTTCTTCAAAGTTTGTAGTTATATTACTTTGAAGTAAAAAAAAAATAATCTGCCACCAAAAAATATAGGTTGTCATAATTTTAAGGAATTTAAATGGAAATTTATGTAAAATGGAGTGACTTTTGAAAAAAAAATAACGACACAATTTTTTGCAAAATAATGACAATTCAAATTAAACTGCCATAGATTAGTATTGCATTAACGTATATCAACTTAATAAATGGTGAAATTATGTCAGATAAATTATCTATAAACGATTAAAAATTGACATTTTATAATAAAACCATATGCACATAGTAATTGCAGGTAAGAGTTATCTTTCTTGAAACACTTCACAGTAGTGAAATAGGTAGCCAGTTTCCTGAAGTACAGAAAAATGGACACATGTGACTCATTGATAAAAAAACCCATGATTAAATGCCTGGATTGCTTTGAAAAACTTAATAATATTGAGAGAAAAGACTGTTCTGTCAATAATAAACATACAATATTCACCAGTTTAATATTAAACATTAGAATATGCGGAAATTGTGATACTGTCTCCCTACATTGGATTTTCAACTAGGGACGTACTTCCTACTTCCGTTTATCAATACACTCCTATATGGCCTTAAGCAGTGTTATTACCTGTGATTTAAAATATACCTATATCCTAAACTAACAGGAACTTAGGATGATCCTACCTACTTTCAAATTTACCCATTTTAACATGTTTTATACAATTTAAGACAACATGGCAGGAATAAGGATCCTGCTAATGGTAAATAAAAATATAAACCATTCTCGCTTGGTATTTCCTTTCCGTACATCACCAGAAACACAGGAAGATTTCCCTATTTGTTACATGTTTCATTAAGTGGTATGTATATTTCTTTTGAAAGCCACGTAAAGGGTAAAAGCTTAAGCATGTCCTTTTCCCCAATAAACGTTGTTTCATATCCGCAGAAAATAAAGCAAACATACAAATCATGGTCTTTACTGTCTTACTTGATAGAATTCCACTATTTTAGCAGGAGTGTTAAGAATTTTAATTTTAATTTTTTTGAAGTGGTAGGCGAGGATGTGCTGTGACACAGTTACCATTGATCAAAATGTCTATTGTGATCAATTTTTTTAATATTTATTGTTTAATTATTTTTTTTAATTTTTTTTCAGATTTTGGAAGAAATTACACTGTCCGGCAACATCTGTTGAGGAACTTAATCAATGCTCTCATTGTTTACATATAGATTATATTGAGGGAAAGCAGATAGATAATAAACAATGGCTGATTTTGAAACGTTTCCCAAGATGTAAAACTTTGCTTCCAATGACTGAGTGGCCATCCGTGGAAAAAGGGCCATCACATCGATGTCAAGTTTAATTTATTTCATAGAAGTTCGGAGAAAAATTAAAAGTATTTTTCACAGTTTGACAACTATTCAAAGGACATTTTCTCTGGAACCCTTTCACTCCTTGGTAATTCTAGTAAACTCTAACTTACATTTATCTGGATGAGTCCATTGTGGCCCACAGTGGTGAACGGGTTTAACTTTTCTGGTTTTTCAAGAGTTTCCAGCTACCAGAATGAATTTTCAGCAGTTTTCTGGTACCTGAACAAAGTTTGTAAATCCCACTACCTGTTACCATACTGTGACTCACGTCCCTGGACTAAAAAAATGATATTTGTTATTTATTTTCTAAATTTAGGATTGTTATCTTAGAGCAATAAAACAAAAAAAACAAAAAAAAAAGCTAGGCAGGCAAAACATTATAACAGGATGATAAAACTTAAAAAATTCGGGACTATTTTCAATAAATCTGCCATTCAACTGAACATTGTCAAATGAAATATGATGAAAATAAATACAAGCATGATGTAAAGCTATGAAATGAAGGTTACAACAAGGGGGAAACTACCCCAACAAGGTACAACAAACTAGGGGAGGAGCTTTTACTACACTGTATGCAGGGTGACCAACTCTTTCCATCAGTATCATCATTTACTCTATGTTGTCATTCCTACGAGCTCAACACCGAAAGTATTATTTATAACAATTTCAAAATAATATTTTCCCGAATGATCAATTTCACATTTTGCTTCAATTTTTAATTAACTTTTTTCAATTCTAGATAAATATATTTTGATATTCTTCTTCGAGCTACTAAACTGATTTTCAAATACAGGCAATAAGCTAAGATTATCTCCCCTAATGGCAAAGTAAGTCAGGGGAGATAACTCTGAACTGTAAAACTTTTCATATTTTTTTTATTACTTCCTATTTTAGTCAAATCATCAAACAAGTGTGATTTTCTGAAACAAATCTACAGAATTTCGGTACAGTCCTAAAACTTTGTTTACAATATGCCTAATCCTCTTAAACATATCACTACACTGATAATACTGACAGATTAGATCTACCAAGAGGGGAGCACAGCCAGGCATTAAACTCCACTAATACTTTAGTATGAGTAGCATTGACCTTTGGACTGAGACTGCCCGTACGATTGGCCTGGTGGCTGGAGGTGCGAGTCGTCACGGCTACGCTCCGCACTTTTAGACCGCTTTTTAGAACGAGAAAATCTCTTCTTAATTGTGCGGGCTAAAGATGAGCCTTTCTTTTTCTCTGTAATATCAGATCACAAATAAAACAAACCATGAAGTTGCAAAACTTGAACAAGTTTTCAGAAATATTATGAAAAATGTGTAAGCTTTAAAATGTTGCTTGAACACTAACAGTACGCTTACTAATTTCGCTGGAGGTGATTTTCTTGTTTGTTTCATTAATGCATTACAAAAGATCCCTTTCAATTACTTTTAATTATTGCTAATTGGAAGATAAAACAATTAAATACACGCCAATATCATGTACCACAAAATTGTAATCCCTAGAATACACTTTGCTCTGCATCCTTCCATTGCAATGTACTGAGAAGGCAAATGTTGTTGTGAGACTATAACAACATTTGCTATTGTGACGTCATCAATCTCTATTGTGACGTCATCAATCTCTATTGTGACGTCATCAATCTCTATTGTGACGTCATCAATCTCTTTTGTGACGTCATCAATTTCATTGTTTTCAAGAACTTGCTGTTCAAAGAACAATATGAACGAACTAAATAAAGCGTAACTACTCTATCAAAATGCAAATATTTTAGCAAATATTGTTATGGTCCTATAACACACATTTCTATTGCTGACAAACTTACATAAAGCTCTGCCGGTCTTTATTTGGTTTGTCATCAATAGCAATGTGTGTTATAGGACCATAGCAGCATTATATAAAATATTCATTACTTAAGTAAGAGTTCTAGAACTTTCAACAGCATGAAAATGATAAAATAGTCTAAAAAGCCATATTTCTGTGTGTGTAGGTATATAAAATCTCTATCAAATGTTCTGTAATTTTTTAATTCCAGTAAGAGTTCTCCAACTTTCAAAGTCATGAAAATGATAAAATACAATTACTATGCTACAGTGATAAAAAATACATATTTTTTGTAATGATTTATAAAACCTCTATAAAATATTCAATAATGTTTAATCTACAGATAATAACTCAACAATGACAAGAAGCTACAGACACAGAATTGTTCTCTTCATTAAAGTAAACTAAACACACATAAAGCAGATATCCAATTAATACAAATCATACACAGCTTTACAGTAAACCTGCCATAGCACTGCATCATATCACCGATTCGTTTTCTAAAAAGCGATAGTACAAATTAATTGCTGGCAGCTACATGAATCGTAAGCAAGATGACTGCAACAACTTGAGATGTGTCAAACTGATAATGGTCAGAACAGTTTAATTGATAGGGTCACAATTAGATGTAAGATATGTAGTTGTAGTTGTAGTTTTTAATTTCTATAATGGTTTATTTTGAAATGAGATTATTCAAATAGTATATGTTATTATTATTTAGTCCTAAATCAATGACTAAGTATTAAGTTGGGATGATTCAGGCTTGTGCTGTCAGTTCGACAAACTTTAAAACAATTCTGATGTCACCAAAAAGAACTTGAAACTGTTGGAGTACATAAAAAGGTTAAAAAAATGTACCTAAGAAAATTAACGAATGACTTAAGGGGGCTCATACCAGTACCTTTTTCCTCATGGCCAGATGGTGGTGGGTCCATCTTGACAGTGGGGATGTCACTATTTCCCTCCTCTGTTGGAGAGCTCTGTGTTGTCTGTTGAAAAAACAGGAATAGCAGTTAATCAATATAATTCTCAATGACTCAAGAATAAGGTAATAAATACAGGATCTATAATGGTAGACAATATACAATGTAAATGATAGGAGTGTGTGATTAACCTTTCACCACTGTAAACCATAATGGACTCATCCATATCAATGCATGGTAGAGTCTACTAAAGTTACAAAGGGGTGAAAGGGTTAATACAATGTCAGGAATGATCCCATAATGCATATCACTGCTTCAAACAAAGTTTTCATGCTTGCCAACTCTCCATATTTTGGAGGGAGACTCCCAATTTTGTACCCTAAAATTTAGCATGTTCAACAAGTGAATTTGCTAAACTATTCCCTTTTCTAAGATCTAATGATTTCATCTGAAAGAACAGCTCAAAATGTGACATTAAAAAGTGTATATTTTCCCCCTAGGGCGTACATAAACACATTTAATTTATGCTTTTCAATTCCTAGCATGTGCAATCTCTCCATCGAATTTCAAAAAGTCGGCAAGTATGAGATTTAGATGAATTAAAATAGAAAATAAACAAATCTATTCAATCAAGTAAAATTCCATGACATCACATGTTAAAAAGGTTTCGATAACATAACATATGAACTACCACCTGTACATGATAAAATAAATAAATCACAAACTGGATTCTATAGAAACATTGATATTGGAAGTATTTAATGTGTTACGACAAATTTAATTAACTTTATGAAATATTATTTAAAGAATCTGATTTAAAACCTAACCAAATTTCATATTTGCTGAAAAGACAATACCACATGCACAAATGGTACATAACCATTGACATACATTTTCATATATTATTTTCTTAACTTTTACTGTTGGTTATGTAAATGGTGGTTATTTTGTACTATTAAAATATGACAGAAAATATAAATACTGAAAGAAAACAAAAAGGTGGGGAAAACAAATAAAAATATCATATTTCTGGCAAAAATGAAATTATTAAACAAGCAAAAAAAAAAAATACAGGTACATAAATTTTGTTAATACTTTAAAAAAAAACCACCCAGACTTGTTTTCACTGAGATAATAGAATAATTGTGTAAATTTCATAAATGTTGATATAATATATTTATTTATCATAAGTATTAAACAAACAAATTGAGAAAAAAGTTTAACCAGAAATGAGAAAACTCAGGAAGAAAGAGCAGGTTTAAAGTTAGCTTGACATTATACAATAGCACAACATGAATCTAGCCACCACAGGGTCCCTTTCTACCTGTAAACAGGTTGGGTACAAGTCTCAGATAGTACAGTAAGTAATTACAACAAATTATCAAACATTTATCATGTAGTATCATATTCTAAAAAAAAAAAAAAAAATAACAGAAAGCTACCAAATAAGGCTACCCAAATATTTGCACTTATAAAAATTCACAAAAAAAAATCAATCAATATTTTCCATACAAATGATGTTTTAATTAAGTATAAATTATGAATGAAATTATTTTTCATTTAAGTTTGAATTCATTTTTCAGCTGATTTTTTTTTTTAATTCTGGTTTATTACTATTGTTTAAAAAATATTATTTTTCACACAATTTCCATGAAACTGTTCTAAAAATTACAGAAATATGTCTAATTTGTATAGCATGTAATAAAAAAAAAGAATTGAACAATTTAGACGAACCAAAAAAATGAAAGGTAAAAACTCTTTTAAGAAAATTTACGGCAGAAAAAGTGTGACCCAAGGTGGCTGAAATGATGAGGTTAAATTGTACAATTTACAAACAATACATTTTTGTTTACCTTAATAGTTGGAATAGACCTAACAGGTTCCTGTTAGCATGCAACCAAATGGAAAACAATTCAAGCATTGCATACAAGTGTAGGTCAATTTCAAACACAAAAAAGTATATACAAGTAAGGTAAAACATGAACCTCCAAAAAATACTTTAGTCTTTTATATTCTTTCAAAATTCTGAAAGACTACTATTTTATGAAAAGCAAAAAACATTAATTGCAAAGGTTTAAGAAATTTAGTAACATGTTGTTTAAATTATAAACCAAACTAAAACCTTATTTTTGAGAAAAATAATGAGAAAAATTTGCAAGGATGGCAACAATTTTTTTTCTTCAATTAGTTTCTTGTCGAACTTGCAACATTTCTTGCATGGTATCTTTGGTGATTATCATATATGAAAAATTGTACAAAAGACACATATCTGAAGGTTGTGAGAGTAATAATACTCTTATCTGCTCCAATAAAGACAATTTACCTAAGGGAAAGGTAAATATGCTATATCAACATTGAAGTCATGAGATAAGTTTATAATTATATTTCTGTTAATTAAATATTCCTTTTGTAAATTGTAAAAAATATATTATTTTGTACATATGTTGCAAATTGTTTATATAAAAAAAAAATAGTAATCAAAACTATTTACAGGGAGATTGTTATTTTTAAGACTGTTTTTCTGGTAGTAGTGATGGTAAATATATCATATAAACATTGTATGGGTCAATATGATGTATATGTACATGTAACTGTTCTGTTTCACTATGTCTTGAAAAAGGAGCGGATCGCTCCGAAAATTTGACAACCTAAACTTGTCCACACTGTTGGAATTACTTCTTTGCCCCATATAAACATTGTATATAAGACATTGTTATGAAAATATAAATAACGGATACCCCCTTCAAAATTTACGTATCATGGAATCTATGACAGATTTTTATTAGCCTTCTTCAGTTCTACGAATTAAAATTGTGTGGTTTCTACTCAACTTAACATAACCCATCAGTCATGTTATTTAGTTCAAAGTCATTTGACTAAAACGAAAATGATACTGAAGTTATAGGACTCTTAACGTTAATGCTAGCATATTGTTTTTGACATTAGTTACATATATTTGAAAAAAAAAATTGTTACAGTAACAACAATCTTTCAATAATCAAATCTCTGTTATCAAATTTAAGTGGAGTGTACTACATGTGTAGAACATTGTAAACGAAGGAACACTTCAATCTCAGAACCGAGGAAACTTAACCCACTCACCCCTATAGTCACATTTGAGTCACTTACCAAATCAAAGACTGGGCAAGTCCATTTTAAATATGTAGGGGTGAATGAGTTAAACAGAAAAAACAATGTTAGACATAAAACAGGATAGAAAACGTTTGGAAAAGGAGTTGAATCATGGAGAAATAAAGACTAATTTGTAAAGGAGAGTGAAGACAGACATTTCCTTTTTCTGAAAAAAAAATCCCTGGAAAAGTAGAAACAAACTAAGCAAGTTGGGGAAAGCCAGAATGTCATTCGATAGCAAAGGTAGAATGATAAACTTTCAAACAAAGACAACTTTCTCACAGCAGGAAATAAACAGCTGACATTACATGTCATCTCACATGATTGAGAAAATTCCCACAAGGCAGCGGTATTGATACAGCAAAGACAAGCAAGAGCAATCTTTATGGACCAGAAGAAGAAACATTTTGGAGATCTGAGAAGGTAATGGACAGCAGATGAGAGTACTCCTAGGGGGTCTAAGCAGAGCAGCAAGAGAGCAATGTGTGGGTGAAAGTATTGAAAAGAGTTGTTGAAAGTTTACTTCTAAAAGATTAGAAAATAAATGGTGTACTTTTTCGAACCACAACACCAAACAAGACTATAGTGAGGGAAATTTNCCCCCCCCCCCCCCAAACTATGCCAAGGGTTAAATGTCAAGATAAGACACCATTTACCATGTTTCAATTATATCTGTTTATTTTTTAACTCATTCACCCCTACATATTTAAACTGGACTTGCCCAGTCTTTGATTCGGTAAGGTTCAAGTGTGACTTTAGGGGTGAATGAATTAAGCTTGAACACAAGCCAGGGCTTTCCAATACAGATTGGTATCTCATGAACAAAGAACAACTTTTTGTTTTGTGTTATTTTGGTTTATGGTTTTTAATTTGTGGAAGTTATCTCTAAATCTAAATAATAAATTCCTGAACTCGAACCTGAGAACCACTAGGAGTACTCTCCATGGGCTTTTGAAAAAACAAAAATCCAGTTCATAACACCGTTAAACCTGCAGTGCCGAGCCCTACCTTGTGCTGCCTATCAGCAGCGGAGGAGCTCCTAGGCAGAGAGCCAGCCCGTTTTGGAGTACTCGCATCTTTGGAGGACTTTGAAGAACGGGGAAGGGTATTATAATCTCTTTTGGGGCGAAACACACGACCAGACATGGGAACGGATTCAACACCTGGAAGGGTTTCTGGGGAAACATTGGCATCCTCTATTTCAGGTTTTGGGGATTCTGCAGACTCAGGTTTTTGAGGAATTTGAATATTGTCAATCACAGACTGTGGGGTTAGGTTGATGTCTTCTGTAGTTTGTGGGCGCATAACAAAACCGGGACGCTGGAGAACCTGAACATTTTCTGATGGAGGTGGCGGGTCAGTTTTAATATTTAGAGTTGTTTGTGAGTGCAAGACAAAATCGGGATACTTGACAACCTGAACATTTTCTGGTAGGGGTGGAGAACCAGTCTGAATATTTTCAGTAGTTTGTCGACTTATGGCAAAACCTGGTCTTTGGACATTTTTGACATTCTGTGAAGGAGGCTGAACATTTTCAGCTGCTTGTGGCCTAATGACAAAACCAGGTTTTGGAACAAATTGAAAATGTTCTGACAAAGGTTGGGGAGAAATCTGAATATTTTCAGTTACTTGTGAAGCACTTGGAGCACTTTCTGAGACTGAATTTTGGACAGTTGACAACTCTGTAGTCGTTGGTATCGCATTGGTATTAGCCGTTACCCACTCATCTACCCTTTTTTCTATAACCTTACTGGTGTCATCTTCTATGTCACTGCTGACTTGTTTGTACACTCTCAGAGGACGTGACAGAGAGGCATATCTCTCAGGGGTGATAACTCTTTTATTATCTGTCAACAGATCAGATACAAGTTCCTTTGGTGGACCAGCTATCTCAGTACTTTCTACTTGAACTACAATTGTTTTTGGCACAGTATCAAAAGGTTTTGCACTCAGTCTGGTTTCTATATGCATTGAGGTTGTAGACATCTTCCCTTCTCTTGATTTTGTATTAGTTGGATAACTTACAGTAGAGCATTGGGGTAACTCACAAACAGGTAATATTTCTACGGGTTTTTCACACAAATCGACTGCACCAGTATGCTCAATATGCCCAGAACCCTCGAAAAGTTCTTTTTTTTTAGCTTGCTCTGCCAAATAATTTTGTCTTCGACGTATGGCACGCATAGCAGGAGAGTCATCATCTTGTGTTTCTGACTGTGTGGGGGTGGAAAATTCATAGTCTATTGATGTTTCAGCCTCTGCAGCAGGTGAGGACAGGGTCACTTCCTCTGCTGGCAGGCTTTCAGATTCAAATGAAATATCAAGTTTTGTTGAAGAGTCTTCCTGGTCAGCATCAGCTTGAATGACAAAAGTCCCCACGGATGCCGGAACGTCTTCAATTGTGAATGATGTGTTAGACATTGTTGATACATCTTCAGTAACTACATCAACTGGTAGCACTGAACTTTCCACAGTTCCTTTATCCTCAGTAATGAAAGGTTCATCAACCGAAACTGACAAGTCCTCAACAACATCATATTTAGTAAGTGGAGAAGAAGGTTCTGGAGATTCCTGATCTGCCATTACAAATACATTCACTTTAAGACCTTCTACAGGTAAAGAACCATCCTCCTCTATAATACAAGCACCTGCAACAAGTTCAGCTTCATCAACAGGTTCACTAACAAACTGACCAGTCAAGTAAACCTCCTCACATTTGTCTTGACCACTGCTTCCATTTTGTAATTGAGAGTACTCAGATACCTCCTGTAGCAGGTTGTCAACAGCAGAGAGTTCTTCTCGTGTAGGATCAGACACAGCAACAACATCAACTGAAACAGCAGACGATTCTAACACAATATTTTCCTGCTCAGTCACTGAAGAATGTGCAGGAAGATCCTGTATAATTTCTGACACTGAAGAAATAGAAGTCAGCTTCCCCCTTTGAGCTGAAGAGAAATCCAGGGCAGTTTCCTCTGTAGCCTGGGGTTCAAGAGGTTGCATTGTAGTGTCATCAGCAGCCCTAGCTATATCTAATTGAAAACCTGAACTTTCTAGATCTCCTGGTGTTGGAGTCAAAGACTCTGGACTACTTTCTGTATCTACTTCTGGCATCTCCTGTTCACTGACTCCTGCCATCGAAACATCTGCTGAATGGCAAGAGACAGGTGAAGATGGCTCACCTGCAATGTCTGCTTCTTTTGTGGACTGATCAACTAAATCTTTTGTTGTACTTGATGGCTCAAAAGGAAACTCATCTGGTGCCAGAACAGGACTTTTTGATATGTCCTCTGCAAGGGAGGACATGTCAGAAACGATCTGTTCCATCTCCTCCAACAAAGGTGTGGATATTAGGTTCAGCTCCAGTGTTTTATCTGGCACTGCTGCATCAGAAGCTGCACCTGAAACTTCAGACTTTAATTTGTCTTCGACTTCCCCACCAGAGTGATCTACTGACACTAAATCACTGGAGGTAAAATCTGTCTCAGTACGTGGCTCCTCAGTTAATGTTATTTCAGCTATGTCGGTTGTCTCTGCTGGTGTTCTGTCATCAGCTTCAACCATTTCCCAGTCTTCCTGTGCATGTTTTACTACCACTGGTTCAAAGTCCTGGTATGTGTCTGTTGGTTCGTCTTCTATAGATATAGGAAATCTAGCTAGGTCTTCAGTTTCTACTTCAAGTTCCTCGGTCATATCTTCCATTAGAAAGTCAGATGGTACATGTATATCATCTGGTAGGTCATCATAATCTGAGAGATCATCTTCTTCCTTGAAGTATTGTTCAATAGATAAAGTTTTATCATTTGTTGACAAATCAGAAGACTGTCCAGAATCTTCTAGACCTTTCGACTGGGAATCTGCAGGTTCCTGCTCTAGAGACATTGTCTGAACATTTGTAGGTTGCCCAGATTCCTCAAGAGCGACTGCCATTTCCTGTGAAGTATGTATGACAAGTGGTTCTTCAACCTCGACAATAGACTCACACCAAACAGTGTCAGCCTCTTCAGCAGTGGCATCAACTGTGGAAGCATCAACCGACAATGACGTCTCTGTGGGCATTATCTGTGATAAGACTGTCTCTTCTGATGATACTTTTTGAGCAGCAGGTAATCTCTCAGCTGGCATAAAGGGACAACACAATACAGTCTCAGTAATTTGCTTGGATGGTTCAACTTCGGTTAAGATAACATCGTCATCAGTCTTTGCTGTTTCAGAGAGACATTGATCTGGCGATTCACTTTCAATTTGTACAGTTTTATCAGCTGATAATGTTGTTTCAGCCGGCATTGTGACTGATGAAACTGCTTCAGTTGGAGGTACCTTTTGTGCTGCCACCAACCTTTCTGCTTGCATAGCGGGACAAGATAATGCAGTCTCTTCTGGAGCAATTTGTTCAGATCGCTCTACTTCAGTCAGGACAAGATCAGCTGCTGATGCTGTGACAAATTGTCCAGATGATGCTATTTCAGTTTGAACAAGGTCATCTCCAGGCAAAACTGTTTCGAAAGGCATTGTCTCAGATAAGACTGTCTCTGCTGCAGATACTTGTTGAGCAACAAGTAATCTTGCTGCTGGCATAGAGAGACATGATAACACAGCCTCCTCAGTAGTGATTTGCTCAGATGGTTCAACTTCAGTTAAAACAACATCATCATCAGTCATTGCTGTTTCAGAAAGACATTGATCTGGTGATTCTGCTTCAATTTGTACAATATTATCCGCTGATAATGTTGTTTCTACAGGCAATGTTTCAGATAAAATTGCTTCTGTTGGTGGTACAGTGGGACAAAATGATACGGTCTCTTCTGGAGTAATTTGCTCCAATGGTTCAACTTCAGTTAATATAACATCACTGTCTGTCTTTGCTGTTTCAGAAAAACATTGATCTGGCAATTCACTTTCAATTTGTACAATATTATCACCAGACAATGTCGTTTCAACAGCCATTGTCTCTGATAACACTTCCTCAGCTGGAGGTACCTTCTGAGCTGCTAACACCCTTTCTGCTGGTAACAAAGAACATGGTGTGGTTTCTTTTTCCAACACAAATTCTTGTGATGGCTCAACTTCAGTAAGAACAAAGTTTTCTGAACTTGAGCACTTGGTATGCTCTGCAAGTGCAACTTCTGTTTGTTCTTCATGAACACCTTTTATGTACACCACTGATTCTGGAAATATCTTGGTTGTAATGGCAGAATGTTGAGGGGGTACGGTAGCAGGTATAGCCTCTGGCTCAGGTGTGAGTTCAAGCTCATGAGAAGGTTCAGGTGTGAAAACCTTTGCAGTGACTGCTGCATACTCCACTGGTTCTGTCTCAGTTCCCTGAACTAGTTCAGCTTCATGAGAAAGTTCAAGTGCTTCCGAATGCTCAACACCTATTTCTTCAAATTGTTTGGGTTCATCAGAAGGCTCTGGGGTGAAGACCTTAGATGTGACTGCTGCATATTCTTCAGGCTCAAAGATAGTGTGTTCTAATGGTTCAGGTGAGCATTTGATTTGTTCAAACGGCTCTGATTTAAACACTTCTGTTGTGACTGTAGTATATACCTCTGCTGCAGAATTCATTTCATCCAACAGTTCTACTGCTGCAGTAGATTCACCAAGAAATGGCTCTATGGCCTGTTCTGATGTTAAACATGCTGTGTCAGTGGATAGCTCAGTCTGTTCTGAAGCTACTGCATCAATCTTTTCAGATTTGAAGTAGTGTGAGGAGGCGCCTTCTGTAAGATCTTCAGTGGATGAGTGAGAGATATACTCATCATCGTGAAATGACGAGCATGAACTATCGTCTGCAAAGGGGGAACAGGATCTGGAATGTGCTACAACCCCAACACATGTCGAATCGAGAGCAACCTCTTGACATGTTTCTTTTTCTACTTTTTCTGGCACTGAGTCTATGACTGGTTCAGGAGCAGTGTCATATTCAAAGTTGTGACTCGATTCAATTTGAGATTCAGTAATCAAAGAGGTTTCCTCTTTACTATCATTTTCACTAGATGAAGAAACAAGAGGAACCTCTGGAGTTATCTCTTCAGTGAAGTTTTTGGTGGGAATTTCAGATGAAACATCATGACCAGATTCAATTTGTGATTCAGAAATTAAATCTGGTTTATGTTGAACATCTTCGGTTGGAATGTCAATACTAGAATCAAGGAGAAATTCTGATAGATCAGGTACATCGTCTCCTAGAGAATAGGTTACTTCAAAGATTACATTTTCATCTAGTAAGTCAATGGTTGGGGTGTGTTCGGGCAGCATTTCTAAAATTTTGTTTTCAGTTTCAAACTCTGGGGTTGAATTTTTGTTTTGGTCAGGAAAGAATTTCACCTCTGCTGGAGGATGCATTCCAGCGGGGGTGAATTTAGGAAAAGAGGATTCTTCAAAGCATTCTGCTTGGTCAGAAATTTCAGGATTGAAACTGCATTCAGATGTAGGAGAGGTGTGAGACTTGGCAGAAGAAGAAGAAAGATTTGAGCTTTCTTGAAAGTGCTCTACCACAGCGTCAGAAGTGACAGTTGTTTCTTCTACTGGGGACGACTCAGCCTGTGGAACAGTGACCTCACTAGGTGGCGCTGTTATCTCCTCAGATGGCTCGGTAGAGTCCTAATAGACAGACAGTACTAATAGAATAAAGTTGCTTTGAAATAACACACTTAAACACTTATTGAGTCCAAGCCGCAGGGATCATGGAAGATCATCATCCTTGATATTCAGGGGTTTCGCTCACTTTCACTCTCTACACCCCTGGAATATGTCATAGCAAAATTGAAGGCAAGAAGATAGCTGTTTGATTGGTCTTACCAATCGCTATGCTGATACCTGTCCTTTGAAGAGTACAAAGGAGCGACACTCGACTTCAAAGCCTGTCATTTTTTACCGTTACGCAACCGCGATATTCTTTTGATGTACATCAAAGGATTTAACTAGTCTTCTTGTTTCATCAACAAGGTGGCACACACTGAGCCTTTAATTTTGCTATGACACATTACAGGGTGTTGAGAGCGAAAGTGAGCAAAACCCCTGGAGAATGGAGGATGGGAAGATCATTAGTCTATCATTAGTAGAAATGGGTGATTCAGATATTTCTACTGAGGAGTGTAGAATTTGGAAAAGTATTAGCATTCACCCCTGAAATTTCATAATGAACTATTCCAACCTTTGCACTGGAAAAGTTCAAATCTGTCATCAGGGGTGAACGAGTGAAACACAACATCCAAGACGCAAGAGCAACACTAAAGGCAGCAAAATTTCTGCTATTGCTTTTCAATCAATGTTTAGATAGCGTCTTGCTGTGAGCTGATGACGAAACATCGAAATAATATAGGTCATTTAGTGCACTCCTGAGGGGGATACATGTATCCCATAGGAGTGTTCTATATGGAACAGAAGTATCCTACAGCCATAGAGGTGCATGGGAGAAAATGGAGCATATGAAATACCTGTGTTAAAATAAAAGGAAATATATAAACAGAGGTCAACTTCAGTAAAATTTCATTAGAAAGTTTTGTGATACCAAGTTAACGAGTCGTTTCACTTAAACTAGACTGTCACTAAGGTGGCATAGTAGTGAATGCCTAGCAGACAGATAGCATTCATGAAATAATGAGTTGTTAACATCCCTAACATTACTTCAGATTTCAAACTTAGATATTTAGCTTTCACAGAAATAATAATCCACCATTTTTTGTAACAGGATTTCCTATACCACATTCATATCATACTATCTATTTATAGAACACCAGTTTAACTTGTACGTGAATTCTTAACTTATTACTTCTTTATTCAAATAAGAGCATAATCACTCCCTGAAGAAAAAATGATATTGAAAGAAAGAAAGATATACAGCCAGGGTTTCAAACTTATAATGTCCATCAGACCAAATACACAAAATAATTCACATGGGGTTTTTCAGTAGCTTCAAAAACAAGTTCGAATTTCAAAATCTGTAAAATACACAACACAAAACGGGTCTGGGCACAGAAATCTAATTCCTTTGACAATAAAACTCAGGATAATGACATCAAACTTAAAACTATATGCTACCTTAGTGTGACATGCATCTTTTTTAAAAGAGTTCTACTTTATGAAAACTGTTAGATAATTATTTTATTGTTGACTTGTTAATGAAATATTTTAAAACACATATAGAATATATGCATTGATCTTTATTATTATCATATAATGCTAACTGAAAGTGTTTAAGGGAGGTAACTCAGTGCTAACTGAAAGTTTTTAAGGGAGGTAACTCGTCGAGCTAAAAACAAATCACAGGTTAATTGTGTAAGGTAGCATATATCCTTTACTTTACCAAAAAGTACAGGTAAAACATTAAGGTGGCATATATCCTTAACTCCAACAGAAAATCACAGGTAAAATATATATGGTAGCATATGTCCTACCAAAACTATGAGGGAGATAACTCTGACACAAATCACAGGTAAAATGTGTAAGCTAGCATATATCCTTAACTTTACAACAAATAACAGGTCAAAGATGTTAGGAAGCATATATCTTTAACTCTAACACAAATCACAGGTAAAATATCTAAGGTAGCATATGTCTTATCAGATATATCTCAACACCATGCATTCAAAAAAATGTGAATGATTGAAAAATGAAGCTCTTAAGATGGTATCATGTGCCATGGTGGGACTTAATGAAATAAAGATTATTACAAATCATTTGATGAAACTACTTCTAAGGACTTGGCGTCATTTACAATAACAAAAGTACAAACAATTATTTTGGAACATCTATATATGGTTAGTAAAAAATGAGAGCATTCCATTCCATGAAATCCAAAAATGATGAAAGTTTTGTATGCAGTCCATGGATAATTCAGATGGTATTTGATCATAAGAGGGTACAATTATTTCACCTGACAAAAATAGAGTGTAGCTCATATAGCTTAGATAGAAACTTTTTTGTCTTAAGATCAAAGTCGCCATTTATGAAATCCATATAAAAAACATTGTAAAAGTATTTTATTATTGAAAGTATTTTATTATTGAAATATAACTGTTTATCAAATATGAAATAAAGAAATGAAGTTAATTTTGTTTCTGTATTGAATTCTTCAGTTTTCTGTCGGAATATTCAGAAGTTTAACTTATTTTTTGTCTTAAGATCAAAGTCGTCATTTATGAAATCCATATAAAAAACATTGTAAAAGTATTTTATTATTGAAAGTATTTTATTATTGAAATATAGCTGTTTACAAATATCAAATAAACAAATTTGTTTAATTTTTTTTCTGTATTGAATTTGCTGTTCGAATATTCAGAAGTTTAAACATATTGGTCATAAAAACTGGTATAAAGGAGATATCCACACTAAAACCCTAAACAGACTTGATTTCTATTGGTCAAACAGCTTGTTTCCATGGTTCAACATGGAAATAAGAGCTTTACTATTAATTGTTTTAAATATTCTTAATTAGATTAACTCTATGTTCCCTGTTTATCAGGCTACCAGTTTTGATAAATAATGTAACAGATTTTGTGAACAAGAATTCCACGGGATGTGTCGCCCTCTCGGAGCTTTTAGTAAGAAAAATGTTTTGGCTTGAGTTATCGCGTTAACAGATATGCCAAAACGCGGAAAGTTGAAACTCGACAGAAAACTCATAATATATGTTGAACATTATTGCTTCTAGCATTACCGTACAAAATTTGAAAGGAACTGATTAAGTAATAAAAACAGTTCTTGCATATATCACACAATGCCCTTATTTGGAAATAAAAGGGGCATTACTCCACCAAAAATGCACGTAAACTTCTGAAATGCGAACTTGTCCGAGCTATATTGGCATGCAATATGTGTACCAAGTGTGAGTTTAATCAACACAAAGGAACTCAAGTTATCGCACGAAAAGTTTGTTTCGGACGACGAAACCGACGAGGCCGACAAAGTATACCTATTTGTCGCCCGCACCAAAAATTACAATGGTCAATATTATGAGGAATTTCCTCTAATGGTCAATCATTTTTGCTTACCAATTTTACCAACATAATTATGAGGCTAATGGTTTTGAAGCATGCAATATTTACCAAAACATTTCACTGGTCAAAGTTTCGAAGCTTTTCTTTAAGATCAGTCAGTTTTGCTTCAACACACATTTGACCCCCGTCATTAAGGAGGGAAAATGTACTTGTGTTTTTGGGAATAAAGGTTTCTACATAAAACATATTTTGTCATTGTTTTAAAGCTGATCTTTGATCTGATTTGCTTATACCCTTTTGACCCTCGTGATAATGAGGGTACTGGTTTTGGTAGGGGTGCCTGGTTTGCGTGAGAGATCTGATTTGCTTACCCTCTTAACCCCCGTGATAATGAGGGAACTGGTTTTGGTGGGGGTGCGTGGTATGCGTGAGAGATCTGATTTGCTTACCCTCTTAACCCCCGTGATAATTAGGGTATTGGTTTTGGTAGGGGTGCGTGGTTTGCGAGAGAGATCTGATTTGCTTACCCTCTTAACCCCCGTGATAATGAGGGTACTGGTTTTGGTAGGAGTGCGTGGTTTGCGTGATCGGTCCATCAGTTCCCTAATGGCTGTTTCCGCCACAGACTCTACCCCGTTTATGTGCAAAACTTCTGTGGAAACACACACAAACAAACTCTATGGTCAACCAAATACACAAATAAAACACAGGCACACAAAAATCAAGGTTGCTTCATACAACATCTTAAATCCCCCCACACTATTTTTTTTTTTACAATCTCATATCGACTTTTTAGATTGTTCCTTACACCTTCCCAAATGCTATTTGACTCTTGAAACTCAAAATATTTTACTTTCTAATTAAAAAAAAATAAAAATAAAGAGCAACAAATTAAAATGTTCACCTTTTTCATTCCTTTTTAATAGGATATTAATCACAATATATAAAAATAAATACGTGATGACATGTGCTAAAAACTAAACTAACTAAATATTAAAAGAATTTGAACTATCAGCAAAATAAAGCTTCAAATAACATATCTAGGAGAAAAAATTACTGGATTATCCCCCTGTTGTCAATTTCTGTGTATCAGCTGATACAATTTTTATATGATGTCATTCAAAATAAATCATGTTAATTTCTGTAGACATAAAAAAATCTCGTTTTCTTCCTTACAATCATGAAAATAGAAAATAGTACAAATCTAATGACTATAAACACTGACATCTACAAATGCAAATAATTTAATAGGTTTATATACTTTCGATTTGCTATTTTTAGATATATACAATTCAATACAATGTGTAATGAGGTTCAATTGTTTGCAGGAATTTTGACTGATTGATTTCAATAAAATATGTTTGAATGAAGAGGTTTTTATCTCTAAATATATTTACACATCTATTTGACAACAAAATTATGTCAGAATCTGTCAACCAATTCTACAGAAGTAGTCTTAACCCTTTCACCCCTAGGTAACTTTAGTAGACTCTATCATACATTGATCTGGATGAGTCCATTATGGTCTACAGTGGTGAAAGGGTTAA